CGAAGGTTGACCACGAGAGATGGTACCTGTTCTGAGAGCAGACATTATCATGACACCGAGCTACTAGAACTGGGTCGAATCTCTGAGTATATACTAAATTTGTGCATTTGACTACGATGTTCACCAGAGCTTCAGAGGTGTTAGTTGATATGATAAAACTCAGGTTCACTGGATCTCTGATGTTCATACCTCCATATGTATGAATGTATACAATAACAAGCTACACAACATGAGTATCAGATCCCAACATTGGGTGCATATACCCATGCCCATGGGTTTTGAGTGGGTTTTGGGTGACATTATTTTTCATGGATGGGCACAAGTAATGCTAAGGGCAGTGTTTGTCAAGATCCAACCAAGAATTGGTGGAATGGTAAGTTGAATAGCATGGGTGGGCGGGCACAGGTAACTATGGGTGGACAGGGTGTGGGCTTAGGTCGCTGCTGATGGTTATGGTCTGGTCTGGGTGCGGATTTGAAGTAAAATGTTGGCCTCTGATGAGCTACAGTTGTGATAGTTAGATGTGAAACTCATCTCTTCTCCTTGTGGGTCCACAAAGGTCAGACTAGGACCAATTCTTTTCTTTGATGTGCAGCAATGGGCAACTATAATGGAGTGCGTATGGAAGAAGAAGTACTCTTGCAAGGCTCGAGAAGTAATGATGGCGCATGGGAGGGGAAGTGAGGATCAATCCATAGATACAAGCTTTGATCCCAAGACACAGCGCACAGACACTACAAGTTCACATGAGTCTTGTAAACGCAGCGGGCATCAGAGAATTATGAACCTTCGCAGAGCTGGGAATTCGCTGGGAATTGGGATTGGATGAGGAACATGGCATCGCGAAAGCCAGTTCTGATGCTGCACTGTGCTGTTGTCAAAGGCCGGGCCACCACTTCCCGAAGACCCGCGAGGCAGGTCGAAGACTTTCTGGACATCAGGGCACGTGTTCCCATTAGCCAACCAACTGACTGGGAAAGATCCAATCGGCTCCAGGGCACTTGCGATCTCTCCTGTTGCGGACGGAGTTCTCGGACGAGGTTAAATTTATAGTCGATCCAAGCACCACGGAGGACTAGATTCTGCTGAGCTCCATCCTCAGGTTTTCAGCTGCAAACGAGACGATCGGTCATCCACCCACGTGTACCGAGGAGGAGGAGGAGGCTCACTCGATACGCAAACCATGAAATTCAACACTTCATAATTGGCCCCGGCCTCCGAATGTCATGGGGCACGCCAGCAGATTACAATTATTCCCAATTCGTTAACACTTGATTTGTGACGCAAGATACTTAGCTCGAACCAATGAGGCCTTTAACGCCTTGACAAATACCAGCACTGTATGTCACGCTAAAGGCAAACGGGCTCGGAACAGAACCGAGACGTCCATTGCCATTGCGTCTAACGATCTACGTCCGATCCGACTGCCGGTCTTTTGGCTTCAGAATCTCCGACTGTTAAACGAAATTCAGGACGGCTGGAATCACTTCAGAGACATGAATCTTCACTTATCTGAGAAGTCCTGAGATGTGGACTTGGTTGCAGATGGCATTCGATGAGGTTCGATGACTGTCGGTAACTTTAGCCAAGTACAGCCACTGAATTTCGCTTGAATTTGCGATCATTTCAACGCATTTGCAGTACATTTCAGTTGAGGCTCAGATTATCTAACTCTATTACATCTTGGCTGGGGATTCATTAATTCTCAGAGGCCCATAGATACATGAGTCTCCTCAGTGAGCTCTCTCCCACCTTCATGTCGATGGTAGGTTCCCTCGTTATGATTCCTCATTGGCGTGAACTCTCGTGACGGAGACGAGACGAGGTGAGGGACGTGTAAGTCGCTTGGATCGCGTGGATGAATGCATCAGCAGATCTGCATCCAAATGTCAAAGGTTCGTTGGTAGCCCTGACTCTTACGCCGACCTCAACCGACCAATAGCACCTTTAAGGCCCTTTACAAGTCGGCCACTAAAGGTGGCCATAGATCATAAGCGTGGACATGTGGGCTCCCGAATTAAATATACTCGTATAATGAATGCAGAGACGACATCCCATGCCTCAAATGTTTTCTTTGTTTCAGCAGACACAAAACCGGAACGAGGAGAGAACAAGAGTATTCAATGCTGATTTTACGGCAGATACATGATAATCTAACAGAGCCCAACATTGGGTGGGCATGGGGCGCTGTTGATGGTTATGGTCTGGGTACAGATTTGAAGTAAAATGTTGGCCTCTTTAATCTATCCCATTTCGATGTCTGCTCCGTCTTGTATGTCGTCGAGTTGTACTGGCTTCAGCATTCAGAATCAGTTGCAAAATGTCGAATATGAACCGACTTGCCTTCCGGGTGGAGAAGTCAATACTGGCAGTTTTCAATTTCATGGTTGCCTGACCATGATTCTCAACTCGCCATTCCCAAATTCCCTTATGCAGCTAAGTCCAAACCGACAATCGAACCGGAAAGTGAACTGCAAGTTGACTACTCAGAGATAAATATTCGATGAGATTTTTTATCATTTCAATTTCCAATTGGAGTAAGATTAGGAGCCAAGAATTTCCTGCTCTCCGAATCCCCATCGTCACTGAAAGCCACAACGAGCTCTTTCTCCTCGCTGTCATCATCTCAGTGATGTGCGCGAGAGGTGAACCATCCACTCAAGGTCGGGTGTTGAAGCTCAGATCCATTTCCAGATTGTTCCCTCGTAGATGTGCACTGGTAACTGGTGAAGTCTAAGCGCCGTGCAATTTACTTTGTGGGCTGTCCATGTTCGTCCGACAGTGGGCAGTGGGCAGAGCCCATACAAAACTAGTGCACACTGTGCAAGGGAAAGATTGCAGTCCTGGGGCCCTTGCTCGCTGGACCAGAGCAGCAGAGAAGTCGGACTGTCTCGAGTAGATTTACGACTCAGAATTTGGGGGCTGAGTTTTGCCCAAGATCTGGAGGAGATGCCCTCAAAGACGGCGTTCGACAAACGACTCCGGACAGTGATGTCGCAGGCCAACAGTTGGCACGTGGGAGACCACAAACACACAGCGTTACGTTCACTCAGAGCTTGAGCTTGCTCCAGCTGGAGAACAATGGTCTCTCGAGAAGATCCGGTGCTCTAGTCAGCTTTTTTCCAGGCATGGGTCCATGCCGTGGCAAAAGGACCGCGTAAACGGGCAGCCATCGTGCTTTTTGTTATGTCAAAAGATGGGACCCCGGAGCTTCTGGTTGAAATTTCTTCCCCTGCCTGACCTCTGATTGAAAAGCGATCCGAGGTATGGGTTGGTTCTGCTATCCATGAACCATGCGGAATTGGTTGTAATTTTACCGATCGATCACATCAATCAAAAGCATACACCAGACCTCGCAAGCCTTCAATTTCAACGATAGCCTATTGCTATTCGAAAGAGGATTGATTGGGCTCTATGCAGGCCCAGGCAGTAGTGTCTGAGTATCTGTGGTCCAATTTCATAGTTTTCTGTAAAATCACCTTGCGCTTTTGAGATGTAAGATCTCCTGAGTCTCAGTAGTAGGAGTAGGGCCATGAATGAGTGAACCAACACAACTAACAGTATCGATACTCTGATTTCAACACGGACGATACTGGCCAGAGGAACACACGACAAACTCTCTGGACATACTGTACTCTGCAGGACGGACTTTGGACACATCATTGCAGCACCTTATCCATTATAAGGATTGTGGATATAGGGACGGCTCTCCTTTTCGCTACTCTTGTAACTCGCTTATTGGTGGAGACTATAGAGGCGGGGGGCGGGATGAAAATCTTTCGCTGTGTGCATTGTTCGATCGTCTCGCAAAAAGATTAGTTTTGCCGTATGCTCGAACATAAAAGGTGCGAGTACGAAATATCTGTGTCATGTGCTCAAGGTGTCCTCGTCTGTGTGGCTCGTTATTTATAGCAGCAGGACGTGCCTAAACATATGGACGACAATCCTTTGGAGGTCGATTGGGAAATCGTTCTTTCTCGTGCCAAGGATGAGCTGGCCATCGTGGGCCTTGAGATCCTCGCACAAATCTCACGCTACTCTCTTCATGGGTGAAACTTGTAGCTTTTACTCTCGCTTTTCATCGCCTTATGATCAATGCGCCACCACCACCAACAACAACAACAACAACTTTTTTCCGGCTGACAACTTCCTCCGTCCAGTTTTGCTCGAGCCAAATGTGATGTTAAGGGGCAATCAGGCTAGTTAATCTCCATGCTCCTCATTCGGTAGACTGTTCGACTGCCTGGATAAGGCAGCTTGGGAAAAGGGACAAATCTCGCTTAGTCACTTATCCCGCTTAGTCACCCGCTTAGATGCACACCTTGATCCAGTTGTAGGATCCACCTAAAGGTTCATGGCCGTCAGTGCTACACCAATAGAGTGAAATATTCACCTGTGGCCAATTCACTGTCAAGTGATTCAGCCTCACCTGAGCTTGAAAATCTCTCTCTTCCCAGTTTCACACAAGTATCACTTGGACTTCTCTAGAGCTAGTAGCCCTGGTCGGCTAGAGTCGATTGAACATAAATCGGAGCTAGAGAACCATTCCTCTCGCCCTTGGTCATGACCATTTGAGTCTTACTCTACAAGAAATAAAGCAGTCAACTTCGGTCAATGTTCTTCTGGATCTGAGGCAGAGCTCGAACGAAATCTTCACTTCAAGCTTCCGGACAGAAGACTATTCAATCTCAAGTTTGCGGCAGTGGGTCCGCCTGATACAACTGGATGCAGGGCACAATTGTTTCTTTAATTAATTGGATGGTGTACAAGAGGTTTATAGTATTTCGAGCTGCTACTACCTTCGTGGAAGCGCAGCTCTAGAGGTGCCCAGTTTTTCAACCCGCAGCCAGGTCAGCCTGCTCAGCCTCACTAATCTGTGTTAGTAAACCCAGACCCTTGAAACGCGTGTAGCGCATGCAGCCAACAATTCCTCAACTCCCCCGCCCTCCGAGCTCTCGGGAACAAGGTATATAAAGAACAGGGCTCGCTCGATTGTAGTAACGGTCTCTACGAGCTCACTACCCAATCTCCGGTAGATCTCCAGACACAAAGACCTTCTCGATCAAATTCTCAGACGTACTGACAGGAGCACTCCCACTGCATCTGCAACTGCAACTTCAAACCACTAAAACTTCAGAAATACACCATGAGTTACTACCACAGCTACGGCAGTCGATACGACGAGGTCAGTAGTCCTCCACTCATGGTTCAGAATTCAGATTGTGGAGTTGTAATTTCGTGTGTGATGCACTGAGCTGAACTTTCACGGTCGACAACTCTCTCTGTGTAGACTTCTTCATAGAATGGAAATTCGGAGTGGGAACTTGAGTGTTCAGTGAAGTCTGATTCTCGGGTCGATAGATGTTCGATTTTCTGAATGAATTTTCTGAATTTCTGTTGGAATGCAGAGATACGGCTCGGAGAAATTGGAGTACAATGGGTACGATGATACATGGGTGCTGGGAGTGCAGACTGCAGCGACTCCATATGTTCACGAGCGTCCTTACTCGTCACGGCGCACGTACGGTAGCGGGTACAGCGACTATGGCAGCTCCTATGGCAGCAGATACCCTCCGCGCACCAGCTACGGCTCCAGCAGCTATGGCAGCAACAGGAACCTCATCTTGTATCCGCACACCTACCAACCTCAACCTTCTCTTCTTGGCCAGTTGTTCCCCGGCAGGAGGCACTCGTACTCCTCATCGAAGAACTCATCTTACCCGGTACGCAGAGACTTCAATTCCGCTCATCCAAGAAGCATTCTCGTGCTGCATAGACGATGCATCGATGGTTCAGCAGCATTGTCATGCCGCATGTCTGTCACACACGTCTCTTTGCTTCAGAGTTTCTGCGAACGAGGCCTTTTAAAGGATGATTGGAGCCTCTTAAAAGCATAATTGTCGACTCCTCAGCCTTGATTTAATTTCTCACATACTGTTCTCTTTTCCAGGACGAGGTGAAGCTGAAGGTCGAGATCTGCTGTCTCGAATGCAGGCGAAAGATGCTGGACTCTTTGAGAAAACTTAGTGGTAAGTTAGAATTTAAGAATTTGCCATTTCACGCACGGAGTTCCAGTTCTTCATGCTTTCGATGATTAAATGTGACAGTGGAAGGAGGCACGGAGTTCTCATATGTAGTTTGCATCCTGCTTCACAATTGAACGTGTCATACTGCAGATGTTCATGATTCTGACATGGTTTTGGGACACGATGATGATGCAGGCGTGTATGATGTACGAGTCGAAGGCACGACTCACGCCATGGTGACAGTGACGGGCTACGACTTGAAGCCGAAGAAAATCCTGAAGAAGACGCGGAAAGTCATCAAGGCTGCTGACTACTGGTCCGACTGGCATTACACCGACGGCGTTGCTCCTCATCGTGCCGGCTACGCTTCATCAGTCTACGCACCCGCTCCAGCCTTGAGCTCGAGACACTTGACGTCCTACTGAGGCATCATCGTCGTGGAGAATATCGATGAACCTCGAGACGATGATGGATCCAGAAATTGTATATTCCGACATCTACTGCTAGCTACAGCCATACAGCGATGGTTACTCCACCCACAATCTTCCTGTTTCCTTCCTTTTCCAGTACCTATCAAACCGCCCAACAACGCAGGGATGGATGATGGCGAGACTTAATCGGCCTACATGGAGACAACGCAGCCTTAAATTCCCAGCTCTCGTAGAATTATGGTTGTACAGGTGCCAAATGCTGAGTCCCTGCTGGCCTCTTCAAGCCTACTCTACACTATATCGTTGCCCTCTGCTGTAAGCTTCGATTCCACACCCGGAACACAGACAGTCACGAGTGCGTAGCCTTCTGGAGATGCTTCAAATCTCTTCAAGTTGCGCAGCTTCCAAAATCGACTCGATCATCCTCAAGTCTTCGGGCACGAGCGAGATCTACAGCTACTATATCTGTGCTTTGCCATCAACAATATGCCTGCCTATGTTTTACTATGTATTGCTGGACGGTCTTCACAACAATTCACGTAACATCCCGCCAGTTTTAGTTCGAGTGGGAGATGAGCGAAATTAGTTTCCTAGATTACTATTTCTCGTGATTGCTGGAAACAAGACGTGACCTTAGATCTGGTAGGTCCTGCTCAAGCGCTCTCGAGCTTTAGGAGTGCAGCATGAATGCAGTGGAGAGATACGCGGATGACATCCATAGGGCAGACTTTCCAGAGAGGGATTGTAGTTCTGATGGTTTTAGACTGGCCATCGACCTGTAAATATTTTCACCAGGTCCTTCGACATGAATGGAGGTTTTGATTTCGAACCTGACACTTCGCTATGATTCTGTCTCACCCTTGCGTATGTATGTCTTCTGTGCATGGCAACTTTGAACTGTAATTCCTATTTGTTGGAATAGTCGATAATCTATCGTACCAGAAACTGTATATATTGCACTTTTCCCGCTGCTTCAGATTAATCGGTCAGAAAAGTGAACATTGTAGAGGAATTTTTTTCGACCATATCATACATAGCATTGTCGTCTCGTAGCATGTCCACAATAAACCTCTTGAGCCATTCAGTACACAGAAATAACGAAACAGGGCAGATAGTTAAAAAATTTAACAATTTTTAACCTGGTACAACTTTCATCATTGCACATCACACATTGTCACCCATGAAGAATATTTTTCTCACTGAACATGAAACAACTATTTGATCGAAAAATGTAGAAAAGTTTCTCTTATTAAGTATATAATTATTCTCTTATGACATTACTATGAAACTTCGAAATTATCTGTATATCTAATATGAATTATCCATAAAAATTTACCTTTAAATACTCTGAGTGTCTGCTGAAGAACGTAGATAATAATCAATCCCTAAACCCGTCAGGCTCATCAAATTCGATAGACTTTACTCGCAATTTCCGAATGGACAACAGCAATCTGACGAGAGGTTTCGCTTTCTCAATCTGGAGAAAACGTGCCTACCAAGAGTCTTCATTGACAGTGCAGATCAACAACTCGTACCAGAACTCGACGCTACGCGTCTCTCGTTCACTTGGAGTCAGAGCAAAGTCTACATCATTCACAAGCAGATTTGCAGAAGAAGTCTGAAAGTTTCCAACATGTGAGGACAGTAATCTGATGAAAATAGTTCCTCTCTGTTACGTTTGAACCTAATCAATACCTACTTTCTTTTATCTGCTGCATTCCACCAACTTTGCTTCGTCACATCCCCTTCCAGAATGCTCGAATAATATTTTGAACTGTAAAATTTACTTCCTTTTACTCTGATCTGACAAAAGGTCAAAGAACAGGGAATTCTTCTGTGGGAAACAAGTCCTCTATAAAACAGCAGACACATAAGAAAATGAACTGCAGTAAAGCAAATCCTACAGTTCTTTTGGAGTATGAGGAGGTACAATTGTAACAATTGTAATTGCGAGAAGGAGACTCCACCTTTTGGCGCTTGCCGCTGGTCAATCTTGTTTGGAACGACATTTTTTCATCTCTGTAGAAGAGAAAGCAGCTCGTAAGCCGGCAATATGTTGGGGAGTTTGACTTCTGTTCAAATTGCCTGGGGTGGAGCTCAGGGGGTCTCGAAAAGGTGGAGTATATGAAATTAGATTTGTTCATTTGTCAAAATCTACCAATAGAGCAAGATTCGAACATCCTCTCTCTATAATAAATTTGGAGCTCCTGACTTACTTCAGCACTCTGCGTGACAATGTCAATGTGACCAAAGATGTTGTGAGCAAGATTCGGGATCAGTCATCATAGCCACGACTTGCAGACTGACCACCATTCAAAGCAGATACGAGGTTCCAAACAATTGTAGAATTCAAATCATCACATCGGAATCGATTGTGCTGATTCGAGAGAACAACCTCCGCCTCGAGGAAGGTTGACCATCAGGAAAGAATTAAATCCTTCGGCTCATGAGCATGTGCGCATGCAAAGGGCGGTATCAGATTCTAAGACTGACGGTGACTCTCGAGTAGAGCTTGCAACTCGAATCCTACAACGAATCGAGCTGATTTCGCAGAGCAGGCGATCCAACAATGAACATGCTCTTCCTTCTGAACCTTTTCATTCGTAAAATCAAAATAGAAATGACTCGCCACAAGCTGTACCGAACTGAACGAAGAAATCTGCCGTCCAGTTGTGCAATGCACCGCATCACGAGCTAGTGAATTTTAAGGTTTGGGGTCCGAGACATTAATATTTTTGCAGTTTTTGGGGTAAGAGCAAGTAAAAGCTCCTTGGCTCTTCAGTTCAATAATTCACTGCCACAAATGTGAAGAAGTTATTTTTTTCTAAAATGAAAGTAGTAAATAAATAATTATTAATAATTGTTTGCACGAGACCTCAAGATGGAGACACTGGGCCGAAGGATGACATTTGCATGTGCTCGACAGACCAGCCTACGGAGCCGTCCGTCCGGTAGGACGGAGGCACAGTTGCTCGCGTGCCTCGGTGACTCAAAAGTGTACTGCGGAGTTGGTAAGAGAGACGCAGTCGGTGGTATTTGGAGTACCTCGCGGTCGGTGATAAAACTGACTGCAGGGCAGTGACGGCGACTGGGTTTGCGACTGATGTATGCGTCTGCACGCTCACTTTCCATTTACATCACTGTGATTCCATCGCAGTCATTTACAGTAGTTTTTAATGGGTTACGCGGTAATGCAGTTTACAATGGTTTATTTGAATAAATAATATAAAGTTTATGATGAAGGCATGAAGTTTCCGTGGTGTAGTTGGTTATCACGTCAGTCTAACACACTGAAGGTCTCCAGTTCGAACCTGGACGGAAACATTTTTCGCTGAGACATTGAACTTGTAACTCTATTGTAGTGTGCAATACAGCACTGTTGCAAGCATCTAGCCATGGTTTGGGATGGTGATTTTTTAATTCAAATGTAAATATATACCAAAAATACTAACTAGAACTTCCTCGCTATTTACCAAAAAGTTGTAAGAAAACAAATATATACTGAACTATGCTAATTCGTTCCTAATCTTAAAATTGGTGACATGACACCATCGTTCACTTTGAAGGCTACTTGAATATTGATCTTTTCAGTCGTACGACGTTACTATCTCAGGTCTTGGTACCATACCACAAGTTGCAGGCATCCACGTATTAACAACTACTGTACACTTAGTAGAAGGTCAAGTAAAATTTACACGACCGTATTTCGATATTTCTGACAAGTAACATATATTAAGGACAAAAGTTTAAAGTTCCGTTGTAGTTTTATTTATCGATCACGTGTAATAATATTTACATGTTATATATTTTAGTATACTACTTAAAATGAAGGATATACTGATGTATATATGGAATGTTTTGTAGATTCGTGTACGTAGTATAAATCTTTATCCATCGATCCATATACGAATAACTTATATATTAAACTAACACGCTTGACTACATAAGGTTAGATTCCATGTAAGTTCATCGACTTCTTTTAATAAAAATATGCAATATTTCAATTGTAAGAGCAAAGATCAGTTCTTTGCGTAATTCAGATCGAAAATGGTTAATATTGCTCAATTCATTCTTCAAAAATTTTAGAGCGTGAAATGCTTTCATTGAATAAATCTGGACCATTTTAAAATGTACATTCTTTGGAATTTTTTGTCATTCTTACAAGTTTGTTGACAATGTTAAATTTTGTTATACATATATATATATATATATATATATATATATTATCAAAAATCAAGTATCATATCAAACACAAAATTTCTAATTTAACAGTACATGTATTTGCAATTTGTTTCAGTTGTATTTTTCATGCACTGGAAAAAAAATTTACTCAAAGTTTTAATTTTGAAATATTAAAAATTAGAACTAAATGTGGATCATTTTTTTACAAATAAATTCCAAAATATAAATTTTTTTAAATGGAAATTTTGAAATATTCAAAATATGGAAAGATTAATATTCCTATTATAAAATTCTTTTTGGATAAAAGATAAAAGTCTTCTTTAGTTTGAATGGAAAAATCTGGAATATATAATATTATATAGATTTTCAATTTCAATTTCGAATCTCCATTTTTCGTTAGTATTACATTCCTTTCTCATTGATAAGGTCAGATTATTTTATTGTGAAGACTGTTTTAGTACAGTAAATTTTGAAATAGAGTATTTCATAATTCATGATATATTGTTCAGTTTTCATATTTAATTAGAGAAATTAGTTGGAATGAGAAGTGTCCCATAGGGCAAAATGGAACTTATTGGGTCCCATCAAGCAGTCAAAGTTCTGATGGGTCCCATCAAGCAAATTTTTCTAATTAAACTTGAAAACTGAACAATATATATACTGAAATTCTCTGTTTAATTCGATTATGAGTCTTCCAGATAGGGTTTATTGAGACGGGGAAATCTAGCTCTAGTTCATTAAATGCACAAGTGCTCGAGAATGAACTGAAAAAAACATTACCTAATGACGTAGATTGGGAGCAATTTGAATAGCGAGGGTAATGCTATAGGTGGACATAGCTACTTGTGGATGGTTATGGTAGAGATACAAATTTGAAGTAAAATGTTGGCCTTTGGTGAAAACCAATTACATACATTCCATTAAATGCTTGAGTTTAGAGTCTAACTAGGCTTCCGATTATGCCCTCCTAGTGTTCGAAACAATGTCACGTAAAATACAAATTTTAAGCTTGGATAATTACATCTAGCTTTTTTATAAGTTGGTATAAAAGGGATCAATTCATTCAAAATAAGATTTTTTTCTAACAAACACAAAGAACGAAAGCAACGTTATATTACAACGGTCAAACATGGATGACAGTTAAACTTTTGTAATATAACAATTCCACTTGTCATCCATGTTTGACTGATGTTTGAGCTGTCATGTCACGTAGGATTGTGACAGCGTGGTTGTACTTCGTAAACTTCAACTAGCAATGAGGCACAAGAATTGCCACCAATTTAGTCCATGCAGAGGGTACGTATTTATTATCTTGTGTAGTGTGTGTTGAATAGTTGTATGCTGGCAAGCAAAATTTTAGTTCCTCGTGGTGTGACGGACATCAAACTAAGTGAGGAGTATCCTTTCTTTCAAAGAAAGGGAAGCTGGCTTCAAATGCCTTTTGTTTTCTGTCTCATTATTTATTTACACTAGAGGCTCTGATACCATATTGTGGTTAGTGCAAGAATACACGAGAAGTGGAAATGAATCATCCAACATTACAAATAAGGGGAGATGCAAAATGCATTTTGACCCCATCCTGAGCAGCAATGAGACTGTGTCATTACTGTAGTGTACATGTGCAGCACAATTGATGGCACAGTGTGTCCAACCATCCGCACAATAAATGAAATGAAAACTTGACAAGTATGTGAGAATTTCGATCTCCATCTGCGAGCAGCGCTCGAAGAGGTTGTACGTCTAGATCGAGAAGATGCTGATCCTTGGCCACTGGTTTCAATGCCAGACCTGCTTCAATGGAACGGCTGTCTATTACACAGCTGAACCTGCAGAGGCACGTCTTAGATTCCTACGAGTCCCACACAAGACAAGCTCGACAACTTCAGCTTCTCGATCAGTGATTCTCGGAATTAGTAAACTGACTTTAAAACGGAAATCTGAAGCTTTGAAATCTGCTCAAGTACCTCCGCTCACGATTTATGTGTCTATTCTTGCACGCCAGTGGTATGATTGGTCGTCGGCCATGTTTTGTGCCAAGTCACCATGATTTTGACAAACTGACGGTAGATATGACAGGCTGAGGCGGGGCTGATGTTTTCATAGAAATTATGATGTTGCAATTGATTATGAGGATGTAACTAAGTTAGAAACATAGTCTGCTTGAAGACATACTCCAGCATAGCAGATACTTCAGGATTCTGACCGTCATTTTTATGCCCCCTTGAACTGTCATATATCAATAATTTATGCATTCATAAGCACGACTGAATCGACTAAAGAATGTGTGTGCCAAGTGAGACCATCTGTGGACAGTAACAAAGTCTGGAGCTTTTGTTATGCTCCTACATTTCAGTCTCTCACACAGAGACAGAGCTATGCCAAAGAATCGATAACAATAGTTTCGATGAAAAGATACAACAATCCTCTATCGATCAAGAATTGAGATCGCAGCATTTTCGAATGAACTGAATTACAGGTTTCGTCGATGTATTGTACACTGCGGGAGCAGACGAGCTACTGCAGATTGGGGATTCCAAGCTTGGCCAGCAGCCAAGAATGCAAGGATTGAGATACACTCGGGGAAATGTGAAGAAAAGAATGCAAGAATGAAGCTTCTAAGAGGCCAATGGCGGAACCTGCCATGACATCCATGACGTAATGCCGGCCTAACAGCACCCGGGAACTGGCAGTGGCCACGGCCCACATGCTCAGAAGATACAACGCTGCGGGAGCGACCAGTGCCTTCAGGCTGGAGAGAACCATGCCGCTGCCTGGGTACAGCTGGTCCAGGTATGGCTTGGCAGTGGGGACGAGATGCTCGGTGCAGAGAACGCCCCACATTGGCTCGTAGAACCAGAAGAATGCGGCCACCATGAGAGCTCTGGAAGCATGGCCACTGGGGAAAGACCAATGATCCACCGAGACGAACACGTACATGCCCTTGTTGTAGACGGGTCGAGGGCGGCGAATGATCGACTTGAGCGTGCCGATGAAAACCAGATCGAACATAAAAGCCACGAACAAATTGAGCAAGAAGCTGCGCAGCTCCGGGAATTTGAAGAGAACGGGGGTTACCCAGATTGCGGCAGTAATCGGGATGCAGAATCGGCCGTCCCCTGAATGCTCCAACGCGCGAAGAGTCGATCGAGGAATCCTCCGGCCAATTTCGTGCACCTTCACGGATACCCACTTGTCGAGCTCATCCAGTGCGACGAGAACGCCCGATTTCGGGGTCGGCGATTGCGTCTGGCTCGGTGATGGCTCCATCGATGGCTCCGACAATGGCCGAGATGGTCTCGCCTGGAGGATTTTTCTGCCTTTCTGCCTTCGAAGGAAGTCTCAATGCCCGTCCACGACTCTGTTCCTGCAGCAGGCTGAAGTTCTTCGGATGGAAGAGCGAGTGTGCCCCGAGCGCGAACCTTTCTTAGCCTGGAGAGCGCGATTGAGCGCGGTGGGTGAAGCAGAAGGTGGACACGGCGGATGCTGCAGAGCTTTTAAGAGAGCTGTGACGAATGCTGGACCTCGTGGCGCCCCTCACCCACCCTTCAGCGACCTCAGCAACTCTCCAGCCCTTGGTCGAAGCGATCATACCTCTGGAACTGGGCATCCATCTCGTCCTCCGGTGCTCTTTTAGTGCGGTTTCGAGACGTATCTGCGCTTCGCCCTTTGCGCCTTGATTTGCCCTTGCAATCGCTGTCCACAGGGGCACAGATGGATCAACCCGAGCCTCCGATTCACAGACTTCCGACGAGATTCTTGTCACCAGCGTTCGATGGGCCCGGTAGCCAACTGCGCGTGGTAGATCTCATTCGATCTCCTCCAGCACCGCTCGCAATGCATTTGATTCCTACGAGCTTTCGGCGTGAGGCGGCAGTGCCAGAGCCAAGGTTCTGGGCTTCTACACTTCGGATATGGTCCATGAAGACGGATGGGTGCGTTCTTTCGAGCACTCTATCAGCTTGAAACTGGATAAGGTGAAACCTAGAGGACCCGCGGCCGAGACCATTTCAGATTCCGATCGTCTAGCGTCAATCGTTCAGTAACAAACATCTGTTTCCCGTAAGCTGCATGAGAGTTACGAGAGGAAACGGAGACGCCTGGTCGATGGCGGCAGACGAGAACTTGCAATGTCACGACCAATTCGAAGGATCAAGATGTTTATTTGGAAGTAGACCCGAAAGCATTAACCGCTCTCCAGTGGGTAGGTTCATAAATTCGGTGAAGGATCCCCGAGAGGTTGATGTGCGTCCCGTTGACCCAAGCCTGATGGATTTCGACACCTCTTTCATGAACTTCAGATAAGTGCAGATCGTACTCAATTTCTATGCAGGCATCGAGCTAGGACTCCTACACAAGACGATGTCATGTGGACAAGTAGGCAGTATATCGACGACGATCGAGCCCTCCTCCTGTGCACCGAGCACAGAATCCTATTGGGGATTTGCTTTCAATCCCTACTATTTTGGCTCGTGGTTTCATTCCTTCGGCTGCCTTTTCGTTCGTGATGCAATAAACCAGAAGTTTAGGTTTTCTCGAACCAGTTTCCGGTGGTAGAACACTAAACCAGGAGCAAAATTAATGGAAGGTATTTAGAAAGGTGATGTTTCGAAGATTTCTATTCTTTCTTCCTCGATGACCGGCCAGGAATATGCAATGGAAAGAAAGTGTTGAGGAGAAGAAGATATCGAGGACGACATGCTCCTGAGATGCAATAAATTTGTATTCTCGACAAGGGGCAACATGAACTCATAGTGTAACACAAACTCGACTCTTGCTCTCTGCAATGGAAATTAAGTAAAGGAGCGAGATCCTGCTGAAGGGAACGAGAGTGATGTAAAAGACACCAGAGATGAGGGAAATGTGCCGACTTCAAGAACTGCAATATGATGTACATAAACTTCGTCGATGAGTCTTCATGATCACATGATTACGGCGCCTTAAACATCCCAAAATCTTTGAGTTATGAGATACAGTTTACTCACCGATGTTTGACATCTTACGATCGGGAAATTTCAAAACATTTGTAAACTGATATTCAATGCTCTCAAATATTCCCAATTTTTCGAAAACTGGAGACCAGCTCTCTGGTGCACTTGGCGTACTTGGCCGCACAGCTCCAGGTACCCTAATCCCAACGAAACCCGTAGAATGATCAAGCAGAGACAAACGGGAAGATCATAGCCGCAGCAGAGACTACCCTTGATAGCAGTATCACGGACGTTGCGAACTCAAGCACTCCTAGACAACTCGATGCTTCCTGGTGAGAATTTTCTTCAAAGATCGGGCACCTCTTTCATTCACCTCGGTGTGTAACTGGAAGTAACGGCGCACTCGTCCGACCGAGCCGATGAGAGATCATCTGGGCAACATCGATTGTACTCACAATTTCGCCCGACAGCGTCAAGTGCCAGGGAGGAAGACATCCGGGCGTGGAACACTGGAAATCGCGAACTACTTTGATTTGTATAGACGGCAATTCTCAAGTTATGTCACAAAATATCGAATGTAGTCGTGCAAAATCGATCCTCTGCTTCGCAAGGACAATCACAATTCCTACGGGGCAAAATACTCATCTAGTCGAATCTGCTGATGGCTGCTTCACAGAAATGAAACCCATGGTGTAGACAACTCTGTACATCACTCAAATCCTGTGCAGGAGTGAGTATGTGTTCTCGATCTGGCCTCGGGGGACGAGGACGTGTCGTTAGGATTTTCAATGACATTCTGCAAAGACCTGCAACCCGTGTCGAGATGGCACCACGAATGCCCGCAACCCTAGTGAATCTTGCGTCGCTGAGGCTGCTTCTCGACTGCAACTCTGTATATCCAATATGCCTAAAACTCGGAGATTAAGGAGTACAAAAACGCCACGCATCTCTTCATCGATCTTTGACTTCCCTCAAACCACCGCGAACAGAAATCGAGTTTCCTAGAGCGGCTCGCGCAAAGAGATCGAGCAAAATTGAGAGCAATCGGGACGAGATCTAACAGAAATCTAAATCACAGCATCCGCGTGGCACACGACCAAATGTGCTAGAATCAACGACACGGATTTCAAAATTCCCATCAACAAAAAAAAGCTGCGATGGATACGAAAGCCAGCAAATGAGCCACGATCAAGGCCACGACGACGAACGGAACCACCCGCAGAGCCTGACCATCGGGGTCAGCCCTCTGCTGAGCTCCTACCCTTCCCGAAGCCATCCCCACCTCCTCCTCCTCCTCCTCGATCAATCAATCAATTGATCGATCGATCGAGCTAGCTCGATATCGCTTCTCGTCTCGTCTCGTCTCCTCCTCCCCGCCGACACCCGCAGCACACAACGTCCAAACGCTCCAGCCCCACAGCAGCTCGCCCGAGCAGACCCAACAATAGGGGGTGACGATCGTCCGTTTCCAGCCTCGAGTGGCAAGCGTGACATGGCACGCGCGCCGTCTTTATGGGCGCTTCCGCTGCCGGACAGCGCAGCACGACGGAGGCTAGCCACCGTCGACGGAAGTGGGCGGAGGCGGTCCGGCCCCGTCCATGGCACGCACGAGCCCTCCGTGCGTCCTCCTCTGCCGCCGCGGTGGAGATCTTACTGTTCTGTTGTCTTTTGGGTCGAGGCCAGGCCCGGTTACTGTCGGCGACCGGGTCGAGTCCGAAGAGCTTTTTTCATGAGATTTTTCATGAAGGAAAACACTCTTTCTCGTCTAGTTCCGTCAGAGCTTCGGACTTTAGTCCCGAATCTGAGGCGCTTTGAGCTTCTGATCCTCGCGTCAGAACTGATCTGAATGCTTTGTGCGTCGTAATGCACTGCAAGTCTTGTGGCAGATTTGTATCATAGCTCCCTCATGAGCAATTTCTCTGCGGAAATGACCGATCTTGCTCGTCCGGTCGTGACTTCGGTGTTCATGGAGGGATCGCTCCGCAGTTGCATTGGTGTTGCAATTATGCCATTTTTTCTAAATTAACAACACTCAGTTCAAGACGCATCATTCTTGAGACATGGTGATAAGAGAGCAGAGAGTATTTAATGGTTCATGCCTTACAGAGCAGGCAGAGAGTTTCTCGAGCTTTAGAAACAAGGGACGTCATGAGCTCAATTATGCCATTATATCGATGTTTATGCACTACTGACTTCGTGGGAAAGTATCAAACCGCCGACATCCATCGAAGTTTCTGACATCATTTGCGCAGATCATTACTATTTGAACGAAATATCTCATTTCAAAAACACGATCAATTTGATTCAGACAATTTTAAATGGGAGCTCCGGTAAGGAATGCTGGGTTGATGATTCACAAAGTGATTTGACTGCAATGCAATATTCCTCTGCACATGAAAGTACAAGCTCATGTACTTTAAAGACCTAGAGATTGGCACGCACTCTCTTGTATCCGAACTCAAGGTTCCGATACAACTCAAAGCGGCAAGTCAGTGCTTAGCTCGGTATTTATGATACCTCTCAGCTATCTCTCCTCGCGCTCCATCAGGGTAAAATCCTCCAGACACCTTCGGGTTGCCAGAGCTGTAGACTACAGACAATATCTGCTCTGGTGTGCGTTGGTATGAAATTGAGTTCTTATCAGCGGACAAAACATTCCCCGATGTCTCCTTCTCAGCTCCAAGCTCTTTGGGCACAACAAGACCCTCGTCATCGACTTCGAAGGGCAATTTTTTGCCTTTCACCACCATTAGACCATGATGGTCCAGATGGTTGCGAAGCTTGGAAATCTCCACAGTGGCTTCCGCCACGGTGAAATCATAGGGCTTCACTTTCTCGGACTTCCTCTCGTACAGCCAAGTCCGGATTATGGCATCCTGACCAGATTCCACTCCCAACAGACGAGCTACGAGCTGCACGCACACCCAAATACAAGCCACAATCAGGGATAAGACAACACCATTAGTTATTGTCTCACTGGCTACGACACTGACTCCACTCTGGGGAACCGTAACGAACTCTCTTGAGGGATTGTCGTTACCAAAGGGCTCCCTTACATGAAAGGTCAATTAAAGAAAGCAAAATAAGTAGATGCACGTAGTCATGCATACGTTAGGAGGATGTAATCTATGACCTCGTGCAAGTCGAATATCTGAATAATGCGAAAAAGCTAAAAAGACAGACCAAGACTACGTTACTCGTTAATGTAAAGAGTGTAATCATAGAAATCAACAGATGCTGCGAGCCTAAACAGAAGAGCTCAAAGTGTGATCTCGAAAGAGCTTAGGTTCAAATTGTATACGCAACGCATTCATCCGATCCATCCACAGCTGTCATATACAGCAAAAAAAAATGAAACTGTGAGCTGAATGTCATGGAGCTAACGGACTGCAAGTTAACGAAAACCTCTAAACCATCGACGACGTACTTTCAGACAGAGGAGAGTGGCTAGAACAGCAGAGTATTACTTTCCAACCCCTTACATGTGAAGTAGGGGTGCAAAGTCTTGTCCAGGACTTTCGAATCAAACATTTACATCGCAGTCTTTGAATTATCGCCAACACTTCACATCGTCTTTTCTGTACAAAATTTAAATCTCCTTCCAGACTAAGAGAGACAACATCTGCCAAAATGATGTAAAATAACAGAAGACGATCACACCGTGAAGATGTTTTTTAAGAAGGTATGGTCCTTACCGACTTGGCCCCACTTCCGATCAAGAGTGGAGCAGCACCTGTGTATCCTGTAAGACCAACGTAAGGGATAGCGTACGAAGCGAGCATGTAGTTGATGCTGTTGGCATAAGCGTCGAATGGCGGGCTCAGAGTTTTGTTGAAAGCATGATCCATAGTTTTCGCCCATGTTTTCTTGCTGATGTCAAGTCTGGGGCGTGGAAATGCCACATGCCCGATGCTTTCCTTGATTGCCCTGCAGTCACGGGTTTTAGATCCATATCCATATTCAACAGCAGCAACAGCAATAGCAACATCAGACATGTAATAGTGTTCGCTAATGTGCAACAAATCGATCACGCACTCCGGCTGCTAAAGAAAAAAGCAAACCTGATGTGTCCGACTTCTTGGAGACCCATCTGACCAACAAGGTCGTAGACAAGCGGGTCCAACTTTGCTTTCTCGGCACCTAGAGGAGGCGGCCCACCTGCAGCGAGGTATGGAGCTTTCTTGTCCAATCCATATCCCAAGGCTCCATGCAGGAAAAACTCCGCTTCCAAGTACTCCAAGTTCAGAGCGAAGGCGACCAGATCTTTGTCATGTTTCGTGAACCCACCGGCAGCGTGTAGTGGCACACTCCACAGCAGCAGGATAAGGGCGTAGAAAATCATCATGGTTTCCATTCGTACCACTTTGTCACAACTTGGCTAAGACAGAATTGGAAGACTCGATTGTGAGAGAAGTAGCGAACTTGGCGCAACTCTTCGCCTCCGAAAACGATTATTGCGTACTTCTTTGAGACCTGCGAGGGCTCATATATACTCAAATTCGAAGGCAAGAGTGCTCTTCTCGGTCCTCTCATCTTTTAACTAGTGTACATCTGAAAATGGAGTTCCTAACTGGCGTGCATGGGCTCTAAGTTTACGCACGCATTGACAACATATGTTGTTGGAACTTCTCGCCTTGCGGTGGAGCCCGGTGATACATGATTAATAGCTTCAAGTTGTCGTCTTTCCCTCTGTTGATGCTGCAAGACAGTCCTCAAAGTCCAATATTAGTCCACCTACCTTTCAAAGTCGAGAGTCTTAGAGAATCTCAGAAGTTATGCCGATTCCCACCTGCGATCACTTTCTGTACTGTATCTTCGATCTTGTCAGTACTTTCTTGACGATGCATCTAAATTGTCAGTATTGTCCTCCTCGAATCCACCTGTATACACCTACACTACCTGTTCCCCGGCACAGACGATATAAAATACAATCCTCGCGACCGTCTCAAGTGTGACGTTGACATCTGCCGCTTCATGATTCCTTGTCGAGTTGTGACGCCCGATCGGCGGGTTAAGGAGAAACTGCCTATTTGTGTTCGACTTCGAGCTTAATCCGCACTCATGTCTGGCGTTTAATATCCGGATTGATTCCCGACAATTTCTTTTCGCTCTTACTAAACATCTTACATAGGTGCGACGAGAAATGTTAGAGGAGCGGCTACAGTGACAAAAAGATGCAGGCTAGACTTGGAGAAACAAATCTTGATTTGGATTATCGCGAGATGGTACTACTGACTGAATTGCTATAGATCATCAGACGGTCCGATCCTGCACATGGATCTACTTTCCCGAGATTCAGAAGTGAAAGCATAACGACGAAAGTGATCATAAACCATAGGATAGACATTAAAATTAAACAATGCATCAGTTCAAACAACTCAGAGATTTCCCCCGTATCGATGACAAAGGCGCGTTTGGTAAAGGCCAGCAGGCTCTTCAACCCTGATATTTGATGAATGTGATGGAGAGCAAGCCTCTCTACACCATGAGAACGATACAGTAAACAATATATGGACACCTCATTTGACCACCAGAAGAGTAAGAATGGCCTGGGATTCGATTTGGCATGCACTGTCATGCCAAGGACCCTACCTCAGTTAAAATGTGCATCTAATGACACTCACAATCCTAGATACAAACATCGCAGGGTACTAGGGAATTATTTTGATAAAGTAAATGGTGATCCGGGAAAGCTCTGCTGGCTGCGTAAGCCGTGAAAACTGCGACTGTTCCAGTCCAGTCTTCAAAGTCATCTCTACTGAGTTAAAAGGCAGCCCTGAATCACAAAAATGCGACAACTGAACCACCGACACGGTTGTTCCGAAGTTCATTAGACATGAACTCTCAAACCGGCCTTGGTTGACTTGGCGATTTTGAACCAGTCGGTGTGGTACGCGCCGTCCATGTCGACGCGCTCGTAGGTGTGAGCTCCGAAGTAGTCTCGTTGAGCTTGGACAAGGTTCGCGGGCAAGCGTCCGCGCCTGTAGGTGTCAAAATATGCCAAACTGGTGCTCATACCGGGAGTACTGATTCCTGCCTCGATGGCCAGACCGACGACGCGTCTCCAAGCAGCTTGCCTCGACACCATTTCTTTGGCGAATTCGGGATCCACCAACAAACTGGCCAGCTTGTCGTTCCTGTCGTAGGCCTGCTTGATGCGGTCCAAAAAGCTGGCGCGGATGATACATCCTCCCTTCCAGATTCGTGCAAGCTCACCAAGATTCAAGTTCCATCCTTTTTCCAAACTCTTGGCCTTGATTAAATTCATTCCCTGCGCATAACTGCAGATCTTGGAGGCATACAACGCCTTGCGGACATCATCGACCAACTGCTTCTTGTCGATATTTTGGGCAGCAATAACATCGCTCAAACCATACTGGGCAAAAATTTCGGCGGCAGCAACGCGCTCTTCCTTCAGTCCACTCAAAAATCGGGAGTCCAAAGAAGCGGCAATGGTGGGCGCAGCGACGGAAAGTTCAGCTGCTTGTTGCACGGTCCACTTTCCTGTACCCTTCATTCCGGTCTTGTCAAGAATCTTGTCTACTAATTCACCCTCACCCTTGTCATCCTTGACCGAAAAAATGTCAGCCGTAATTTCGATGAGGAAACTGTCGAGTTCACCCTTGTTCCACTCCTCAAAAGTCTCCTGCAGCTCTTGATTGGTCAACCCACCGACGGTCTTGAGAACATCATAAGCCTCGGAGATGAGCTGCATGTCACCGTACTCAATTCCGTTGTGAATCATCTTCACGAAGTTGCCAGATCCTCCGGGTCCGACGTAGGTTACGCAAGGGCCATCATCTACCTGAGCAGCGACTTTAGCGACGACATCTTCGATGTAACTGTATGCCTCTGGCGTGCCTCCGGGCATCAACGATGGGCCTCGCCGAGCTCCTTCCTCACCTCCGGAAACACCCATTCCCAAGTAGAGAAGACCCTTGGCCGCGGCCTGCTCTGCTCTCCTCTCGGTGTTTTCATACCACTCGTTTCCTCCATCGATGATGCAGTCACCGGGTTCCATGTAGCTCGACAGGGTAGCAATTGTCTGATCCACGGGAGCACCAGCCTTGACCAGGATAATGACGGATCGAGGCTTTTGAATCGACATGACGAATTCCTTAGGATCGTAATACCCGGTAAGAGGCAACTCTCCTTCATCCTTGGCTCTCTCGACGGTGTCATCCACCTTATTCGTCGAACGATTGTAGACGGAAATGGGAAACCCCTTCTCGGCAATGTTCAGAGCAAGATTCTGGCCCATGACCGCCAAACCGGCCAGACCTATCCTGGATACCGCAGCGTCAGCCATCTCGGCGCTGGATTGAGCTCGGAGCTTCGCTCTGCAAGAGGCAACCGACCGAGACGATCGTCCGACGAGAGGCCGACCGACGGACTATCCGCGCACACAATCAATCAAATCAAGAAGGAAAAAGAACGAAGCGAAGAGCGAAACCCGCACGCTACACTCTTCGACTCTTGCGTTTCTTCTTCCTGCCTTCAAACTCTCCGAAAGACCGACCGACCGCGCACTCTCAATCTCTCGTCCGGCCTCGCTTTTATCGCCCTCGCGCGAGGCCAAGTTGCCCGAACTCACTCGCGAGCCGCGACGGCCTGCCCCCGATGATCCCCCGAGCTCCAGTCAGATCGCTGTTCCTCCAATCTCTCGATCTTCTGCGAGCAGCGACGAAGATCCTTTCGGTGTCGGCCTCGAAACTCCGCCCCTCCCTCTCTCTCGACGCAGAGCTCTCCTCGCCTCGTCGCTTGTGCTCCCCTTCTTTCCCGAGCGGGGCTCAGCTCTCGACTGCATGGCCCGCCTCGCTAACCCCAGCCCTAGGATCCTCACCCGACGCTCCCCGGTCGTATACGGCACCGTACCCACGGCGTACGTGCCCACGGACCGTCTTCCCGCTCCCTCGCAACTGCGGCCAGCCCAGCCCAGCCCAGGCTCGTTTACTCCATTCTACTCCGTAAACTCCTCACCACCCAGCCGACGACCTGCTCCAAATTGTTGACTGCGGTCGATGAGCAGCTGCGTCTCGTGCGAACCACAGAAAGCCTAGGGGTTCAGTAAACCCCTGAATCATAGAACAACCAAACAATAACATTCCAGAGGAGAAAGCACCTAAAATAAAACATTTCAAGCCGGCTTCTGTGGAAAATTCAGAGTCTCTTTTTGAATCTGCGATCACATAAAGACATGAACTTTGAAGTTCAATACCTAAATACATGGCAATTAAATCATAAGCATCAAATAAAAAGCATATTGCAAGTGAAAAGTAAAATTAATACAATAGATTCAAAATCATCAAACTCTCCTGTTTTCAATAATCCAAACACATAACCATAGTACTAGCCGTGCTTAATAATAGAAAGATTTGGAAACAATATGTAAAATTTTCTATTAATACATTATTGTATACTAAATTGACGGATGGTTCCCGCCTACCACAGAGCCTCGTTAGTAACGGCGGTGAGCTGAACCGTGTCTGTACCACGTTACGACAGTACCAGAAACTGAACAAGAGTGGGGCTAATCTTAGTGGATGTAACTAATTAGAGTGGCCGACAGTCTATCGCGGCGCGAACCTGGCCGGGGTCAGTTTAACCCGCTCCACGGATGTTCCATTCGTACGCGAGAGGAATGGGGAGCGCGATTCCGAAGTCGAAGTACACGTGGCAGGAATCTGTAGCTCGCCTGGCTCTTGGGGAGGCGAAGAGCACTTTTGGCCTCTCTCCGCCGGTTAAGATAAAGGTTGTGTTAGGCGGCGCTTTAATTGACCTCCAGGGGGATCCTCTAGGGGAGAATCGCGGGTCAGAGGAGGCAGCGGGTGCTCGCACGGCCGGCCCCGGCCCGCCGCGGTTCTCACAGGCCCTCCACCGGGCGGATCATGCCAGTGCCAACTACCCAAACGTTGGAAAGAAGGCCGCTTCTCACACGTGGCGCAGCGGCAGATAGCCGGTACAGACCGTAACGGAGATTCGTACGACTTTTATAATTCAGTGGATATTCTTGACAGGCCCATGGGACCACGTCAGCATGGCGTTTGGACCGGCGGGTCCGAGCCTCGTCGGCCTTTGGAGTGAAGTGTTGAAATCATGTCCATCGAGTGAGCTCGGGATCGCCCTCATCGACCCGGCCCGGCCCGACCCGGCCCGTTATTTTTCCAGAAGCCCCTCGGTGCATGTGGGTTAGAAAATTCCTCGTCTCCTCCTGATCGATAATTATTCGATCCCACGAGAAGGAAAAGGAAAGAGAAAATGCACCCACATGTACAGCAAGAATTAATTTCCAAGCAGTGAATCATGAGATTGTCCACCGATTGTCAACCAGTTAAGTCATATTGGCGCAATGTATAAGAACAAAATCGCAATATGGTTCCAACAGTTTCGATCTGAGCCCATGCACCGGCGGTACTGGTATAAAGACGAGGCTCTGAGCGAGCGATGGGCGTATGCTATGCAGTACGGAAGTACGGTGTATGGTCCCGATGACATTCTCGGGCCAGCGTGAATGTCCAGGCACGACAATCTCGTTGAGCTGCGTATGTGAGTCTCTCGAACGCAGGGACGAGTTTTCTTCCACGCTTTAACTCGTATCGCTGACACCCGAAGATTTCCCCGTTCTCAGAAGCCAGAAAATCAACGGAGTGACGGGAGTGTGTAAGGCTCACCTCCTCAGCGACTACGACTCAAAACGAACGCATTAGCGTAAGAAATCGACGATCGGGATATGGAGCCTTCGATTTCTTTAATAATTCGACACGTTCCTTCAGAAGCAGGGCTCGTGAACTTGTTCCACCAAAGGTTGCCTGGGGTAAGGTCATGCAGGAGACGCTAAATAATTTACAAGAGCTCCTGGAAGTGACAGCAAGGTAGAAGTGTGGATTTTGTCAGGAGTGCCTTCGGATCCAACGGAAGGCATTTGCGACAAATACGAGAGAGGGGACGTGGGAGATTTGACCAAGTGTGTAAATGGATCCTCGGATCAAATGTGAGGTTCGTGTTAGAACTAAGTTCAGACAGATATTTAGCGCCATCAAGTTGTCCCATATTTAGCGAATTTTGGATCGATGCAATTGTCAGTCTCCTTTGTCAGTGCCTAAAGAGGAAAAAGTTGCTGGACCTGCTGCATTTTACTGCCCCAAAAGTTCCACCCACAACTAATTCCTACCCTTATATACTTTCCCCTGTCATTCTACTTTCACTTGTTCCCTCTTGCAAATGAAGCAACCTCGTTGTGTATTCAACCGTTCTCATATGGAAACTCTTCACACCATTGCTGAGGGCCTTCGCCTGATCCCCGCATGCAGATTCCTGAGCCAACCTCCGAACTCGCCCATGGGTTGGACTTCTGCACTGCGTGCAGAAGTCCAACGACGTCGAAGTCATTGTCGATTCAATGGTTGGTCAATACTCTGGCAATTGACGGAACACGGTTCACCCTCCTGCAATTGTGTAGGAACGCTCATTCATCGCCTCTGCCGACGACTGCAAATGAATTGTGAAACTCTTTGGTGCATTCAATGATGCTTTGTACTGAATCCTGCAGTCTCCACGTATAGTCTTCTATCATGACTTGAGTCCAAAATCTGTCATTCTACGATACAACGACGAAGTTTTTCCTTACAAAAACCAAAAACAAAAAACATGTGGAGAGGGTTTGTAGGTCCAACAGTTAAAAATCAATCCTGTCATTTAAATGGAGTAAAATAATTTTATACATATGATGAGACATAATATGAATGAAATGAGTTCGCAATGAACTCGTTTTGTTACATATATGCCCTCTTAAACTTCCTATGTCTTTAATTGATAATGAAAATGATGTATTTCCATTTATCAAAACTGATCATATTAATAGATTTCTAAATAATCATTGAAATAAATCTTTTGATAAATTAATTCATGGTTGAAATTTGCAATTGAAAATTATGATTTTATTTGAATACATATGCCATGAATTTTATACTTTTTATCCGTTTGATTATTCAATTATATCAAAAATTATTTTTTGGATAATAATTTTCTTATATCATATATTTAAATCATTTCATGACTAAAAATAGATAAAAACTTTTTAATTTATCTTTTTAATTGAGATTTTTACAATAAATGAAGTGAAACAATGAATTTATATTTCAATCAATCAAATTGTACAAATATTAAAAATATAAAAAACATGGTAATTAAAAAATATAATAACTTTTTTGATTAAATATTTCTATATTTGAATAATTGAAATTAATTTGAAAACTCGTTGAATGGAAGAATATTTATAGCACCATAAAGAAAATGCATACTATAATAGAGAATGTGTAGTTTTATCACACATGCAAAAAATACATATTATATAAGCTGAATGTAATGTTTAAAGCCATATCTAAATCCAAGTTGTATAAAAATCTAATGTTAGAATAATATATAGTTCAACTTTTTCTTGATATTTACATAATATGAGATGTTAGGGTCTCTACTTTCACTCTCTACTCATCCAAGTTTATGGCTTTATCACATTTCTTATAGTATTCTATACTTTATTGATAATATCTCCAACATCTATCTTGTAATCAAACAAGGACATTTTACGAATGACATAATTCTTCCTTGAATATCTTGACCATATTGTAGTATAACTTTTCCATTTGAGTTATGTATCATTATCTTTAACATTATTCATGTTGCCAAATTTTAATATCGTAATTGACGAAGATATCATGTCCAAAGCCTCCCTCCGGCACATGAACATGCAAAATAGAAACTACAAATTTTAACTTCATAATGGTAAAGATTTTATGAACATGTGATGTCTAAAGAGTCATTGGCGCAAATGAACAAGCAACTGACGAGAACATCGTAGATTCTAGTTAGATAGCTACCGTATGTAGAAAACAAAAGCCAAGATCCATTCTCATCTATCACAAAACTTGCATGAGCAGGAACATAATTCTCTCCTGTAGTTTTCATTATTCATAACACACACACACGAACTTGCTCTCTTGGAACAAATGCGGCACTACAGGACTCCTGAAATCATATACCGTAAGTGTCAGGATTTATATTGCTGTAACTTACATGTCATTGCAAATCCTTCATCGCATAATTACAATATGGAGAGTAAATGAATACTTGAAAAATATACGAGTGGTATAATCAAAATTCCTCTGAAATTGCAGAAAGCTGCATGCATCCGAATTTGCACCGACAATTTCAGAGTTCATGAAGAGCCCGAATGTTTCGAGTCGAGACTTGCAAGAAGAGCCGAGTGATCACGAGACCATGGAGAAGTTGCGTGCATTGACTTCATGGCGTCAGGATTCAGTAGATTCCTGGATCGATTCACAGGTCAGCCACCAGCGATACGACACGTGGATGCTCGTCGTAAGCAGACGAACTGGTCGGGGACTGTCAGTGAGGGGAACCTTATGGACAGTCCTCGGGAGATTGATCGGGAGTGGGAATCGGGCCTCAAGCCATCTTTAGTTCCACGGGCGAATTCGCCGGTGCTCATCGCAATCTCTCTTCATCAACAAGTTTATCCACGATTCAACCACCGACCGAGTGAGCTCGCTCGCTTTTCCCCTCATTCCCTAACTTTCGTGCTTCCATTGCCACCTTTCCATTGCGCGCTCGGTGAATTTTAGTTACTTCTCTCGTTGAGGTCAAACCGGGCGCTGCCTGCTCGTCCTCGGTATTCCTCGGACACAAGGTTTCAGTTTTGAATTGCTAGGAGAGTTTCGAAGAGGAGGGTTGGAAGTATAGTGAGTGGCTTGTCTCATTACCTCCTTTTACCTCTGCTTGATGATTGTTTGATTACCATTTACTTCAGAGACGGATTGAATCCGTAGTTCGGTGTGCAATTGCCTTTCTTAGGGTTCAGTCGTCGTTGGCTTCGGGAAATCGTATTTGGCTGCTGTTTTCGGGCTATGGAATTAATTTGGTACCCGGATTGTGGGAATTCTGCTTCGTAGGGTTCGGATTTGCTCGAGAGGCGAATTCTGGTACGTTGGTGAGATTTTGTGAAGCGAGATGGAGGTGAAGATCGCGGTTCTCCCTGAGGATGAGAAAGTGTATGTAATTACGTTAGCAGGAAAGGCGGAGCACAGATTTAACAAAGAATCCATCGACGCGATCCATCGCGCGTTAGATGAGGTGGAGAAAGATTCCAAGGCCACGGCGTTGGTTTTCACCAACGAGGGCAAATTTTTTTCCAACGGCTTGGATCTTGGTAGGATCGGGAAGGATGCGAGCATGTTCGAGGCGATTGTTGCGGATTTCCACGTACTTCTAAAGCGAGTTTTGCTGTTTCCAATTCCTACGGTAGCGGCCATTTGCGGTCATGCCGCTGCTGGTGGATGCATGTTGGCCTTGGCTTGTGACTTCCGAGTGATGTCTGCGGAGCGAGGTTACATCTTCCTAAGCGAGATTGATATAAAAATCCCGTTGACGCCGGGAATGAACGGATTGATCCAGAGCAAGATACTTGGGAACGCACTTCACAAAGCTGTTCTCACTGGCCACAAGTTTTCTGCCAAGGCTGGCGTAGAATCGGGGTTTATCGATGCTGCACTCCCAGACCCAGCGTCTACTTTCAAGGAAGCTTTGGACAGAGCCAAAGCACTCGCATCGAGAAAATTCGATCGACTTGTTTACGGAACCATGAAACGGGAGATGTTTAAAGTAGCCGTCAAAGAACTAGAAGATGGTGGATTCGGCCCAATACCCAGACCAGTCCTTCTCGCAAGGATGTGAGCAGGAGAGTGCTCGGTTAGTATTTTGACGACATATGAATTTCCAGTTTTCATCATAGATTTTAAGTGCCAATTTTCCTGTAAAAGCATGTAAATAAGATTCAAGTAGCCACGGCAGTGTCATGCCCATTCTTTTACATGGTTATTGGTACCTATCTTTCGAAATGGGAATTTCAGTTAGAGCTGAATAGTCAAATGCTGAGCAGCGAAAGTATCACTTTCGCTGGAAAAGCTTTTTCACTCATTTATGAGTCATGAAATAATGAGTTAGTCGCCGGTTAGCGTTGGAAGTGCCACTTCCTGCTTCGAATATAAGTAGGTGAGTACTGTCCCAATGGAGTCCGCACAACACGCTTAGCTCAGCCACTCTCACCACAGAGAAGAGTGGCACATCAATGTTGGCAAGGAAGGCATCACCTCTAGTTCATGAATTACAAACCTGCTGAATCTATGCCAGTTATAAGTTATTATCCTGACCCTGACACATTCTCAGAGCAGGATAAGCGAATCAGAGATGGCAAGGCATCTGAGAGATACTGTCACCTTCATGGATTTCCAACATTATAAAGCAGAAAACGATGATGTAAATCTGAGAGAGACGGTCATCTGGGACCATGTTTCCCACCGTGGAAAGTTCAGTTTTCCCAGTTCATCAGACTGTTGTTCAAGTGTGCAAAGCTAATCGTGAGATTGGAACATCATCTCAACTCAACTTACTTTGTTGAGTGTTCAGCCTGTTTGGCATTGTAAAGTGGAAGAACACAAAGAAAGGCCTTCATTCAGTATTGAATGACAGGTTTACGACTCAATATACGGACCGAACATGTCAAGCCTGTGACAAATATCCGCGATGAGAGATCAGGTGCATGAGAGATCAGGTATACTTGGCCATCAAACTCACCACGTCAAATCATAGTGCACAGCCCGCTGAGTATACGAACGGGAGATTACGATGCCCTATACATCAAAAAGGGTGAGAATATCTAACTTGTCCATTATATGCTCGATCAAATAGCATGATAAGATGCCTCGTAAATCTGATTGTATTCATATCTTGGATCCTCATGCATCCAACAGAAGAGCACTTCGATTAACCTTGCCGTCGCCTGCATTAAAAACTGATGCCTGTTACACCATTTCGAAATCGATCGGAAATTGAATGAAACATTTAAGTAAGAACAAATCGCTCTGACTCTGTTCTAGGTCAATTTTTCTCGATTGAATTTGGAGATCAGAGACGGTCTACATGACCGAAATCAAGAGCGATCGAAGAGCACTTACAATAGATGAAGGTGATGAATGTTTCGGCAGCTTCGAAGGACGAGATGAAAATCCCTTACCGAGAGTAGCAATCTCCGATTATGATCCTCTGGATGAGATGATTAGTTGGACGGTGACTTTCTCAGTCTCCAGTTCGACGGGAGTTAAATTATATATTACAACAATCGATGAAGACAAGTTCTAGAGTGAATCAAGTAAGCCTATTGCGCAAGTACTTGATTCGGCACGTAGCATGCCCAAACTGAGCATGAGCTGGGATGAGCAAGATGGATGACCTGTCAACCAAGTCGACGTCAACTATGAGTCTGGCAGACTGAAACCACGGTCATCATCACAGCGCTTGACAGAATAGTTGGTGGTGTGAGCAACTTGGAGAACCTTCCTTGGTTTGGAGGTACGTCATTATCAGAATCAAGAATCTCGGGAGGGAGCTGCAGAGTGAACTGTCAAGAAACGTAGTTCGCAAACAAGATTCACTCTGTTTTTGGGTCCACTACATCAAGAGGGATGTGAATGCGACAGAAGCGGGTTGAGATAGTCGTTGGAATTGCAGACATGACTGGCGTATTGATCCAGATTGAGAGAAGTCGATGGTCCAGTGAAGAGAGCTGAGCTTATGAGCCAGACAAAGACAAAGAGGTGGATGCCGAGACTTCAGGATGGAACGATGCAGTCTGTCAGCAAGTGTGCTTGCTGAAAACGGCTGATAGTTTTCGAGACATACATTTGAGACTCTCATCTCCGTCTCAGCACCGACACTGCTTTACCAAGTACTCGTCAACTCTCAGTTAACAGTAGAACATGTGATGGCCACTTGAGTTGGATGTTGTGTTTTGTTGAGTTAGTCGATCAGATCACAAGGCTATAACGGAGATATTGAGACAGGACACTTTGTGCACTTCAGTTGTTGAGCTATCTCGTATTAAGTATATTGATTTTGTGTTTTTAAAATTCTATCGATCGTATGCATCTATAAGATCATGCTCTGGCAAACAGCGCATGCGAATGTCTGCTTATGCTAAGACATATACTGGTACGGTACAAGTATGAAATGCTAGAAGTATTCAAATTCTTGTGCTTGGGTTGAAGTCCTGTCAAAAAGGGAATTTGATCTGCAAAGCTCGGTCCGTTCAAACATACTCGATGAAGAAAAACATAGCTCCCAACACTGAGAGTATCATACTAAGGCCTCAGTCAGCCGTCGGTTGCCACCTGCATACGATGAGCAATGCTGCCAGCTGACAACTGCACAACTGGATTCCTTCGGTGTAATTCGAAGTTCTGGTTTGTACACATTCTTGAACGTCTGACGATTCAAAATCTAATTTTGAGGGTCGACTTATATCCTTTCCCGTCTTACAACCTTCATTCGATTTGATCGTTAAAAGGTCATTCGATACTTCAACCTACTGATGTTCTCTGCACGGAAACGACTTCAAGGTTTCATGAGCATTCAGCTACTGATTCAGAGAGAAGTCATAGTATATATCCAAATGATCATACTCTAGGATCACTAGAATTTGAGCTCGACATTCCTATTCTCCTACAATCATTGGAGGAGGACTTCCATATTTACATAAAACTTGATACAGTAACATCAACATCTTGTTAACATTGGTCCGTGCATTGAGTTCCATGTTATTAGTATTCAGTTATCTAGTGCAATATACTTATTATTGACTCCAATGAATCCGTCAAACACGTTCTCTATGTTCTTGGGTTAAAAAAAATTCTCTTTTCGGTAATCCGCGTTACTGATTCAGGACATTGGGCACTAGTTACACCTGATTCATGTTTTCTTCTAGATGAGAAAGATTCCACAAGTGTATTTCTTTGCGCAGATAGGTATTTCAAGAGTAGATTGTATAAAATTAAATCTTTTCATTCTCATTTATCTTAAGTATACAAGTGACTACTATCTTGATAATGTCGGGGTTGTTGAAGACACCCGAGCTCTTGCAATTGTACTCTATGTCACTTGAATTTCCATAAGTCTCATCATATGTTGTCTATATTCATGCAGCTCTACGAAACTTCAGACCTACTTACTATCCTGATTTTGTTGAGATTGCTGAAGACATCCCGACTCTTGCAACTATAGCGTCCCATGACACAATAACCCTTTGCATCATCGGCTATATCACTTGAATTTCCTTATGTCTCATCATATGTCATCCACAAGGCGTTTCGACTACATACTTGCCATCTAGCTGTGATCACACATGCGTCATTTGTGTTTTGTCCACATCGCGTTCATAAGAGTAAGAAGCCTGCCAAGCAAACTAATCGTACTCTCAAGCTTATCCATAGCGACATCTGCGGTCCACTTGTAGCAAGATGATTTTTGGTCAGGTCAATCATTTGTGAATGTTTTTAACTCCTTTCTTGATGATGACTCCACACTTCTTAATCCGTCATCATGAGAGGAAGACAATTGTCATCTAGCTCATTCCACAACTCCTTCGGATATTCACAAACTAGATGTAGTTCATGCTCAAGCATTGCCTATGACGTCTAACACTACTGCGGCTTCCACTGTCTCATACATGTCTCTTCCACAACAAATTACTCCAAGGATGCAACAACTATTGATGATTATTACAACTTTGCACCTCATCAACTCAATATTTTTGAGAGAACTCAAAAATTAATGATCAAATTTCATTATACCAAGTGAAGCTTCATCCGGACTGGTGCAAAGCAATGTAAAAAGAATTTGACGTTGTTATTGTCAATTTCACTTGTAATCTCGTTAATCTTCTCCAATCAAAAGCCACTAACTTCACGCTGGATCTACAAAGCAAAACATGAGTTTAATCTCACACGGATTTGTCTCAAAGCATGGCTTGGAGCAAACGTATGGAATGAATTACAACAAAACCTTTGCTGGTCTACTAATGTCTGATGGTCTACTCTTTGAGCAATGATAGCAATATCTGTGGCTCTTCGTTAGACTTTACATCATATGTACATTATCATTTCTTTTTAAACGGGAAGTTACAAGAGTTTATCTACATGCAGCAGTCTTCAGACTTAGGGCATTCACAAATGTGTCTCCATTTTACATCATGTTCGGTGCTCATCCCATTATTCCATCAAATTTGATAAAGAATTTGAAAGGAAATGAATTCTCAACTAAAATAACCACGGTCAATAAGTTTGTTAAACATATCCACATGCTACATCAAGCAAAGGAGAAATTATTGATTGAATTATTATTTAAAAAAAAACATACCAATATTCATCGTCAAAAGTTATTTTTTCAAGTTGGAGATTATGTTTTGTAATTTATAACAAATTTGTTTCTTGTAGGAACATCAAAATAAAATCCTAGATTTATTGATACTTTTGTCATATTGAAACATGTTGATGAACTGTTTAAAATTCTGTCACATATGAAAATATATCATATATTTCATGTGTCATAATTGCAAAAATATGTATCACTATCAAGACAATTCAAAAACCAACTAGTGTAGATTCATTTATCAATACTTTATAACTGATAATGAGAAATTTGAGTTAGAAATGATATTCAAAAAACAAATTTGAGGCCATAAGTATTCCAAAGTTGAGTATTTGGTTCAATAGACAGTATATATATCCTACAAATCAATTTGAAACCAACTATAAATCTTGCTAATACACTATTGATAATTCAAAAATTTTAAAAAATGTGCAACAAGGATGTTGCACCTTAAAAGGAAAAAGTTTTATAATGATTTTCAGTTTGTTAGAATAAAATTAGAGATTATCTAAGATGAAATTATAGCATACATTAGTCATAGCTTTCACGTCAATGATAGTTTGAGAGTGAATGTGTTAGTTCGCAACGTCACGTTAGCAATTAGTGTGCTTGTTAGGTAAAGATTGAGTGTGTTAGTTGAGAGCGTCACATTAGTATTTCATGTGCTTATTATGATTATCTGCCACGTCATCTATCCACTAAGAATGTAATGGATGATGAGGATGAAACCTTAGCTCCTTATACTTGTTGATAAAAACTATATAACAAAAAAAAGAACCTTTGTTGATATTTTTTATATTGAGAGTTTATATTTTCATCTTCGAGTGAGTTTCTATCTAAATACTAATGTTAAATATAGGTTTTATTCGTTGACTTTATAAAATAGATAAACGTTATTCTTGAATAATTTTTAAAATATGCTACAAAGTATTCAGACTTGCTTAGTGAAGTACACGACACAGGTATTATTAAATTTGTGCAAACCAGTTATAACTGTTAAATAGCTCTGTTGGTATATGGTCTAGGAAATCTTTCTCTTGATTACTTACAAGCCTAAAATGTTGTGCAAACTTCATGAATATCATATACTCAAGGCATTCCTACTACATGATAATCTCTAGACAAATGACTTAGTCCATAGAAGTTGAGATGATCAAATTTTATGTCACAATTTTGTGTCTTTTGTTTTTGTCATGATATTTATTTCACTTGCGAATAAATAAAACATGTAGTATCCACTAAATTGATGTTGACTTCATATAACTATAATCTGCTTGTTAACAAAATAAATCATGATCCAACAATATTTTTGTGCAAATAAGATAGCATGATACTCATATGCAAATTTACCTACTAAAATCAAATTTTGCTGCACAAAAATTAAGTAGAGAATATTGTCAAGCTTTATTCCAGAACTCTATGCTAAAAAATAAGCATTTTCACGTCCCTCAGGTCTATATAGTTCCCCACCAACTCTCCAATTGCTATCATGTCATCTCTCTTATCAAACTTCATCAAAACTAATACATCTTTATTTCCTATCACATGGTTAGAAACATTGCAATCCATACACCACTTGTGGTTACGGTGATAGATCACATTTGCTAATGCCAATTCAAAGTTGTCTACATCATCATTATAATTTATTTTTTCTGCGTCATGCATGATGGAATTCATCAACTTTTGTCACTCTTTCGAAGGTACCTTAGCTTTCTCTCTCAAAGGTACCGTTGTCACTCTTTCGAAGGTACCTTAGCTTTCTCTCTCAAAGGTACCGTTAGCTTCCTCTGTGAATTGATAGAAGCAAAATGTAATTCTTTCAAACACATACACAAAGATAAAGTATTCTCATCATCCAATCCCCTAATAGTGAATTGATGATATAGCGGATATATCTAATGAGCACACGTTCAGTAGATATATGAGATTGTAGACATGTCATGTATTGATGACGTGTAATTGTTATGCTTGGACTAATTTACGAATCTTTAACATCTATTAATCAATAGATCTCCAATTATCAATAAAGTGAAAGAGTTTGTTTGCCAAAAAGACACATGCTTACCAATCACGACGTACATAGCTTGCATGTAGTAGATTTTCTGTCCCCTAGCACAAAAGACGATTGAGAAGCACATTGAGCTCTCCATGATGAGACTCGTATTCACTAGCATAACACTTCCGAGCATACGAGTGGGAAGAAAAATTCCTCCGAGTTATTGGAACTTCTCTATTTCATAATTTGTGTCTAAAGTGTGTTTACTTCTCCAATGTTGATTGATTTTTAAGTTGCAATATAGACCAGACTCAAATAGATTTTTATTAACCACAATCCATGTTTGGCAATATACATAGGCAGAAATGGTGAAGAAATAACAAATAAACTACTCTTCTTCCACCACCTTTCATTCCCCGTCGTCGTACATCAATCAACACATCGTCTTCTCGCTTAGAGTACGACGATGCACTGATACGACGTCATACCACGGGCGGGCCATCCATGGTTATGCGAGCCACGTAAAGGCGATTCGTACGGCTAGAGTCTTGTCGTCGAAGGAATCGAAATCTTGAAGACAATTGTGGAGCCCTGTATACTTGCCAAGAAATTCAGACAGGACGGGATATCTTCTAACACTCATCTTCTAGCACCCTCCGAGAGGAACTTTGAAAAAGGCTGAAGAATCATCACGCCAGGAAAAACGCGGTCCTATGGCGTTCTGCGTGGGGTCCTGCGTGGTGTGTCTTGTTCGTTCTCCTCATCCTTCTCGGCGTCCTGGTTGGATTGAACTAATTCTAATTGCTATGTTTAGACAAACAGCATAAAGCAAGTGTGGGGAGCTGTGAAATCAATATGTGCGAGATGGAGCCACCACAAGAACGAGTTTTACGGCCTAGACGCCAGGTCAACGCTGGGCCAATTTTCCACATAGGCGAGCTCTCAAAAGGTGCTCCTGACATACTCGTGCCGAGCTGCAAACGCTACACGTTTCCCTCTCAACTGCAACTAGTGACCACGTCAAAAGCCAACATGAGAACTAGCTTTTTCGAAAATCCGGGCCATACGTATGCCTACACTGTGTCGAAATTCCTTCGCATGCTCTGTAGTCGCAGAAGGTGCCGCTGACAGAAGTCTGCATATCTGCAAAGTCTCCATAGAAGTCTGCATATCTGCAAAGTCTTCACGGTGCCTTCTCGACACCAACCACCGACTGCGTCCAAAAGCAACCTTCACGATTTTCATGGCCATTTTGCTGCATAAGATAGCTAAGACAGTAATTTCACCCCTTATCACTTACCCAAAATGGTTTTCACAAGTTCCTCAGATATGTGATGTGGAATTGTGGCCCGAGAACATTGGAGAGCCAAAGTACTTCACATCATCCTATTACATTACATTATTCGAAGTTGAAAAGATTTGTTGGAAATCCTTGTCATTCTAACGGATGTTCCACTGTCCAAGACGAGTAAATAAGCATGTGTTCATTTTCGTCAAGGCTGTAAAATCCTGGTGCTGAACAAAGAAACTGGAAGGCGTAATAGCAAGTTTCACGTCGCTGATTGCTTATGTGCTTCTCAACTTCAGGTCAGGTTTAGGAATTGGGATTTTCTGGAAGTATTGGATAGTCTTAGCACATTTTGTGATCTGCGTGTGTAGTTCTGATTTGTTCATCCACTGCTGTCTAAGAGATGAATGGTTCCAGGCTTCATCGGCATCAACATCAACTGTGGTGGTGAGGTTGACACGAACCCAGACACAAATGTGCAGTTGAAGTGGTTCAACTGGCTGAACAAGGTGTCACGATCAACGCTACTTTGAAACCTCAATCCAACAGTTGTTCCCGGGAATAATGCGGAAGAGCTGAATACTGCTCTTGCTTTCAACCTGGGTAATCCTGACCGCAAGGCTCGAATCGAAATTCTGTTACAAATTGCCCGTGGGTTTCAATGTAACACATGAAACAAGACTATGGCCGAAGGCAAACGTTTCGATGCTCCTGGATTTCAGCTGCTGTTGGCGGGATTTCAAATGCACAACATCTTCTCGACGAGCCTAGAAACTTAAGAGACTAAATTGGGAGCAACACCTCCACAAACTCACCATCTTCGCTCGCTGCAGTCTCCGACGACAATCATCTTGTAAGCGAAAATCCTTTCTTACATTCTGACCTGGCTCAGATCTTGCCTGCTCCAAACTCAAGTAGCTTGGATTGCTTCAACAGATGATCACTTCCGAACTGTTTGCGTCGATACCCGCATTCCAAAGATCAACATGAAGTACGTTGGACTCATGGAGATGGAGAAAAGTGCTCTAAACATCAATGGTTGTGATCTCAAAGGCTTGGAGATGATCATTGGTGCCACAATGATAGAAAGGGGATGATTCTAGTCTTCATCAAAAGAGAAATATCCCTTTCCGACAGGCGTGTATACCCCGTTCCATGGTCGTCACCACGTGGTGTCCGAAGCTGAACTCTCTTTTGATGCTCTAACCACGTTCACGATCTGTTGGGTTCTCTTAGACAGTATCTGCAGGTGATCCCAATATGACCATTTTCGAATTTTGTTTTCATGCATGATTATGCGGCTGAACTCCATTCCAGGGTTGCGAACATCAACTGTCATCAAAAGATATGTTGTACGTGTGGACCTAGTTAGAGAATGACGGTGTCAAAATAGAGTACTTCCATTGGCGTGGGCGTAGTACGCGGAGCATAGCAGATAACTGATCTGTGTAATAACGCTGCATATTTCTGCACATGCTGGAGCCTTGATATCTGGCGACTAATAGTTGGGAAAGTCTTGTCTCAATTATCTCTGCGACTGAGATCGGGGAGCAGAAGCACAATGTGTTGGGCTGGAATTCTTTCTGGGGTCTTACTCTCGAACCTTATCCTCTCTCCGGTCCTCTCGCAGTCTACTGGGACTTCTCCAGAAGGTGAGTCTGTAAATTGGCTTTCGATTGTGAATTTAGCGGAGAAGTTTATTTGGATTATACCTTGCAGCTCTATTGAAAGCCTGAATAGGCAAAGATTCTTTTGCTCGTTCCATTATTTCTTCTACATGAGAATTGCCAAGGAGATTCCAGATTGTCAGAAGCTGTGAAAACATAAAATCCGGCCAGTCCGGAAATGCTGATGAACTTCTTGCGCCGTTCTGACAGGCGTGAAAGTTTCTGGCCGTTTCACCAAGTTTGATGCACTTACCAAGTTCACAATCTGTTGGGATATCTTAGACACGGCCTGCACGCATCTGTAGTCATGCATGAACATCCGCCTTATTCTTCTTCTTAGCTACATACCAGCTTCACGAACATCAATATTCAAATCAATTGAGATATTGTATATGGACCTCGTCATATTAAGTATGCTTATTGCTGTGGGCACAGTATGTGGAGCCCTCATATCACTGAGCTGTCTGATTACGCTGCAGACATCTGCCCAAGCTGGAGCCGTGATATCTGGCAACTAATGGCGGGCAGTGTTTTGTGTCAATTTTCTCTGAAAATTTTGAAAATGAATGAAAATGAAAATTTTCCAATGAAATTGGCGAGCAGAAGCAGAAGATTCTTAGCTCGAATTCTTTCTGGGGTCTTATTATATAACCTGATTCTTTCTCCGGTCGTCTCCCAGTCTACCGAGGGCTCTACACAAGGTGAGTCTGCAAAATTGGTTTTCTGCGGTGAATTCAATCAAGAAACTTAATTCAATTTTAGCTTGCAGCTCCAACGAGATATTGCAATGCGAATTATTGGCGATTGTGTGAAGCTATGAAAATACAAAATCAGGCCAGTGCGATTTTACTGATGAATATTTTGCAACTTAGGATTCATAAGCATCAGCTGTGGCGGCTTGAGTGGAGTAGACCCTATCACCTCACTCCAGTGGATCACTGATGAGACTCATCTGCAGTCATTCGAAAGTCTTTCTCAAGAGAAGGTGATCATCACCGCCGACGTTTATTACAACGAGAGCTCACCTAGCGTGCCGAATGACGCACAGCTGAAAACTGCTCTGGTGTTTCTTCCCATCCAAAATTTGACACGCTCGAAGTTTTGCTACAACTTGCCAAATGCATTTAACGCAACTGAAGGATCACGAAATTATCTTCTTCGAGCAATGTTTCCCAGCCAAAATTTGACTCTGAATGGAAATGCATTATCGGGAATTGCCACTCGGTTCTACTTTACTGTCGACTCCACCTACATCACCACAATCGAGCTACTGCCATCGATGCCTCAGACAATCGAGCTGGTCGTCTCTTCATTAGATGACAAATTTTACGTTTGTCTCGTGCCCTTGGAAGACAAGAAGTCCTCCATGCCAGCTATCTCAACTCTGGAGTTGCGTCCGTTCAATCCAGATACCTATGGCAGAACTGGTCAGTCGACAGACAAGCAACATGAGATAGCTCGACTGAGCTATCTCATGCTGGTTGATCGTTTGGACTTCGGAGGGATACTTGACAATGAGTCGCCTCCTCTCAGGTGCACATGCTAATGAAAATTGAAGAAGAGTGGAGCGAGACTAGCTTTACCTCATCATGCTGTCCAGCATGTGAAGTGCATGGTGACCAATGACGTTTTGCTTCGTTCTGCACGCAGGTATCCCGCAGACCCTTTCGATCGTATATGGTCATCCCCACGAATTCCCGAAGGAGCGGAGTTTGATTCTTACAACAGTACCGAAGATGCAAACCTTGACTATGGCGGGGACAATGTTCGCTTCCCTATTGCAGTTATGAGATCGATATGGAGGGGAAAAAAACTTTCATCCATCATTAACTTTGATGTTGATGTGAAGAGCGCTAGAGCCGTCCGTCCACTACCAACATTGTGGATACAGATGTTATTTTCAAACGTAGTTCATGGAGATGCGAATCCTGATCAGACCGCCGTTCTAATCGACGGTGATCAAAGTTGGTTCTGGAAGTTGTTTAAGGTACCCGGTTCTCCCGGATTTTTTCAGTTATTGAGCAACGACCAGGTCATCCGTAGCGATTGGTTTACATTGAGAATTGGACCAAATGGAACCACAGAAGCACCTGTTCTGTTAAATGCAGCCGAGATTCATGGTGAGTTTGCAGCGGTGTCAGTGAGAACTTCAAAACTTGATGGTAAGTGAAGCCATAGTTAGCATTTTATGTCGTTTGTTCACCGACAGCTATGCTTGCAAAATATAGTCATTAAATGACTGAGAAATTAATACGGTTTTTTTTCTTCAAACTTTCTCAGTGGATGCAGTCAGGAAGGTTTATACCGAGACCGCATTAAGTTCTGTAGACACAGCTGGCGATCCGTGCTTGCCAGTTCCTTGGGACTGGCTAGTTTGTAGTATCGAATTGCCCCCTACAATAACCCAAATGTAAGTTTGTAATCCACGAATTCCTTACAATGGTACTGATCACACAATCAGAGTCTAGATATATAGAAACACAAGAATCGATCTCCTTCTGACAATGACTATATATAGCTCAGATCTTGCAAGGTGCGTACATCTCTGTATATTGAAATTAAACCTTGCCACGCACCGACGACATGAATGAGAATTTCTTGACGTTGCAGAAACCTCACTTCGAAGCCGTGAGAGGAGAGTTGGACCTTGATTTGTGAAGTTGTCTGACTGTCTTGGACTTGTCAAATAAAAAATTCAATGGACGCAAGCCAATATCCCTAGTGAATGTTTCTAAGATGAGATGCTCAATGATGTGTCACATCAGATCCCTACAGTTTTTGTCTTCTTGTTGATTTACATATAGCTTCCTTTGACGGGTCCGTTTCTCTGACAGAAATCTTACTGGCGAAGGAGTGAGCGGTGTATTGCCTAATGAACTTGGGAATTTGAGTCAATTGACGATTTTGGATCTGTCTGAAAACAATTACAGCGACTCTTTCCCTGATTCTCTCGGAAGAATCCGCACTCTCAGAGAACTGTAAGAAACCTACTCACTCGCGCTTCGGATCACATAGATGAAAGCAGGTGTCTCTATGATGACAAAGGTTCCATCAGTGGTGCCATACTGGGTGGGGTCATTGCAGTAATTGTAGAAATTTCATATCAATCTTTGAATAAAGGTGTAAACTTATAAGTTTGAGGACAACGTCGATCATCATCTGCATGGATCTAAAGTTTCCAAATTGCCAACTTTAGGAACTTAAGACACAACAAGCTGTCTGGAGAACTTCCATTATTCAGTCCAAAATCACTTGACAATCTGGAAATGCTGTAAGTTATTCAACATCTCACAACGCAAGTAAGACCTTTTGTAACTTCAGAAATATTGACAAAGTTCGTAGATTACTATCAGTTGAACTCGTTTGACTCATACATATTTTCTAGGTGAATTCAAATTACGAAACTAATTCAATCATCAGCATCGTTGGCGTCAGTTTTGTCAACTTACAGTCATACGTCGTTATTCAGTTAGATGGCGTAGCTAGCCAGAGTTGGAAGACAACTTGGAATGAAGTAAACTGTTTAAATAGTTATTCTTCACGGAGGAAAGATGATTTTGTTCATTCTAACGACCTTCCCATTCATACTACTGCAGATCACTGTCGAGCAATATGTTCAATGGAACACTGATTTCATTAATGGGAGCATTGGACGAATCGATTCAAAATTTGTGAGTCAACGATCAGTTTCTGTTTCGAGTTTTATACTATTTTTAGAAGTGCTTCTTATTATTGTTGGTCCCATATTTAGTGACACTCCGTCAGAATTGTCTCTCAATTATTCATCCTGTACTGTCCGAATATATTATATTTAAACATCTCCGATATAATCGAATATAGAAGACAAATATGAAACTTGTGTTGTCTGCAGAGACCTCAGCAATAACAAATTCGTCGGACCCGTACCTGGGAATATAGAAATGCTAAAAAACTTGGAGAATTTGGATATGTCCAACAACCAATTGTCGAGCGAGTTAGCAGTCAACTTCACTAAGCTCAGGAACTTGAAAAATCTGTAAGTACATGTTTCAATAAGAGTTAAATTAGGCTTGGAGCTTCTGATTGAAAATAGTGAAATTTGACGTGAGGAAGCCTTGCAGTCGAGAAAGTTTTTTCTTTTTATTGTTTAAAAGTATCACGATTCTAAATGAGACTGAGGAAAAGAATCGTGATTTCAGGAACTTGAGCCTTAATAATCTGAACGGTACAGTGCCTGACAGCATCTGGAACAGTAGCAATCTTCAATTTGTGTGAGTACGCAGTTCTCAGTCCTCGTATCATATCAGTAGTTAATGTATCGAGGTCACTAGATGTTGATTCAACTATGTCAAGAGAAAACTGCTAAAGTATGTTGGAACAAGCAAGATAACTGGTCAGTACTGTATGATTTGAATTTCATTACTGCTTGCGTTCTACGGACAGCGACGATGCATTTGGCTGGATGATTTATAATCCTTTCCTCAGGTATAAGAACAGTATGTTGAATTTGAGTACTAAAATGATTCCTGAAAATATTTTATGTTCGATGTACAATTTATCAACATTTCGAAACCCTTCAATCCAACTTCTGTATATACGTGTAGTTCCTCGACACTTCATTGAAGTATTTCTAATTTGTTCACTCAGGAATTTGAGAAACAACAGCTTTGTGGAATTGAATCTTACAACATGGTATAACAAAGTTGCCGAAAACAAGAGTCTCGATGCTCGTCCAATTCAACTGCGTTTGGCTGGAAATCAAATACACAGCATTATCTCGCCGAGCCTTCAAACTTTAGAGAGTTTAATAGTAGCGCCACCTTCACTATCTAAGCAGCTGCTCTCGATACAGTCTTCCCAAACTTTTATCTTGTAAGTAATAAGCCTTCTTACTCTCTGACCTGGTTCAGATGTCCAGATCTTGTCTACCAGGAACGCAAATAGTTTAAATTGCTTTCAAACATGTTCGTATTCCAACTGATTTATGTACCCGCATGTCAAAGTCTGAACATTTAAGGATCATTACATTGCTGCTGAGATGGATTTCTGTTTAGAGAAAACGGCCTAAAAACGCACTCGTTGTAATTTCAAAGGCTTGGAGATAATCCGTGGTGCCTCAATGATACTGAGGGAGTGAATTTAAAGTTCATCAAAAAATACATGTGCCGATCTGACGAGCATGAGAACTTCTGGCCGTCCCCATGTAAGTTCCGAAATTAAACACTATTTCGTTTCTGTAACCAAGGTCAAAATTAGTTCGAACATCTTATGAACTATCTTCAGATATTGAATAGGCACATTTTCAAAGTCTTATGTCACAAACATCAATTCAGTCATGCGTCTGTTGAAATCATCTGGTTATGTGAAAGTCTAGCTTCACAAACATCAATTCTCATCATAAATCTGGTGTTGTATGTGAGCGTAAGCAGCAAAAGATGGTGTTCAAACAGGAGTAGTAATTGCCGTGGGCGTGGTATCCGGAATATTCGTGTTACTTATGAGTTGCTTAGTCATATTCTTCACGTGGAAAATGCGAAGAAGCAGTCGCGAACTTCAACAGTTAAAAGAAGGTCAGTTGTCAGCATACGATTTTGGGCAATCACTTGACCATCGTCTTGAGAATGATCTCTTGGTTTCAACCTTGTGAGTGGAAAAACGCTGCTCCTTCGTATTCGTATGAACGCTAGTAACCTTAACTTTTCTCAGATTTAGCAAAAGACAACGTGAAGTCACCGTTTTTCAGCTACCAAGAACTCAAAACGGCGACAAACAATTTCTCTAGTTCCAACGAGTTAGGAAAAGGTGGATTTGGCACTGTTTTCAAGGTAATACGCCTGACATTGTGATATGCACATCTCTAAAGCGTCTATAAACAATGGGAATAAGTTTTCATTCATTTTTTCTTTCGGAGTAAGTGTAGTATCCTGGATTGACAGTCATCTGTTTCACTAGGAAAGTGTAGAAAGTGGAGGGAGCCCATCTAAGTATAACAAGTAACTGTCTTTGACAGGCTGTCCTAGCAGATGGGAGTGTTGTTGCTGTGAAGAGACTCACTCCGACAAAGCAGAGTCCGTCGGACTTCTTGAAAGAAATGGTAAATATCATGGGTATCAAACATAAACATCTGATTCAACTCAAGGGATGTTGTGTAAAGGAGAATCAGGAACGAATGCTGATTTACGAATACGCGGAGAACAAGAGCCTCGCAGAAGCACTGTTTGGTGAGAAAAATTTAGTTTCTTCAATGATAATGTATCTACTAGAATCACAATAGAAAGAAGTTTTTGCATGTATATTGAGCTAGCGAGCAAGAATAATGGGCTCGATTGTTTGTTTGGAAGGATTCTGAGCTTCTATTACGAACGGTTCAAGTGGATGTATTGGATACTAAGTAAGTAACCTTCTTGTATGTGGGACTAAGAAGGGGAGAGTTTTTGTCTTCGACTCACATGTGTAATAGAATAGAGAGCATGCGGTTAAACACTACGAAGAAAATGCTGATTATCTCAGAGTTTTATGTATGCCGCTGACCAACAGATTCAGGTCCTCAATGTGTGACTTTCTTGAACTGGAAACAACGTTACAACATATGCTTGGGAATAGCCCGTGGACTTGCGTACTTACATGAAGGACTGCAGCCGGGTATGATTCACAGGTGAGAATGCTTAGACTCAAACCTCATCTGCAAACCATCCACGTTTCGATTCTGTTCTGTGTAGAACACATCTAAAGAGATGGGAAAGGCACGTGTTTTAACACCGAAAGCCCATGCTCTGGGATATCTCATGCAGCTTGTTCTTGTGCATTACACCGTGCGACGACATCCGAAGTCACATATCATGGAGTTTTCTGCATGCTTGTGCTTCGTATACGGCTTATTTTGAGATGTGTGATTTCTCCGCTTTATACACTGACACCTGCCTCTGAACTCTCAGAGACATAAAGCCGGAAAATATTCTTCTGGACAAGAATTACAACGCAAAGATTGCCGACTTTGGACTCGTCCGGCCCGCTAATGATTCAAATGACACTCAATTCACCATGAACATTGGAGGAACGAGGTACTTCTAAAGGCCGAATGGATTCATGAGTATTAAATGCACGACAGTTCCACTCAATTGGTGAGACTCGCAGTTGAGATTTGAATGTTGTATGCCCTTATAGCAAGGCACTAACAATTTGGATTCCTTTCCATGCAACTGCAGGGGCTACTTTTCACCAGAGTATGCACTAGAAGGCGTCGTATCCGAGAAACTGGATGTGTATAGCTTTGGTGTTGTCTTGCTGGAAATTGTTGCTGGAAGAAGGTGCATCGATCTGACGTTGCCACAAGAACAAAGTATTCTACGGTCCTGGGTGGGTGATTCTTATATTGCACTGCATCATTATAGTACGAACATTCCTAATCCAGCTCATAAAGCTTCAGGCTTTTAGGAGAGACTCATCTGCCTCCTTTCTCTGCTACTTCTGCCAATTTCACTCATCAGAATACCGTCGCGAATCTGATTACGGCTATTTTCCTCTTCGGCCTCTCACACCCTCATGACATGCGCAGGCTATAACTTTGTACACGGAAGGCAAGGTTTTGAACTTGGTCGATAAAAGATTGGAGGGCGATTATGACGAAGAAGAAGTCCTGCTCGTGGTGAACATGGCTCTGTCTTGTCTGCAAGCAGATCCCAAGAAACGCGCAACGATGTCTCAACTGGTGAACGAGCTCTTGAAGAACGCAAATGCAAGTGTAGCTGTGGACATCGTCAACGAGCTAAAATCCCAGACAGTATACTTGTGTAGCATACCAGAGGATGAACACTACGTGGATACCTATGCTGGTAGCCAAGGCGTTCAAGGAGAATCAGTCGAACTTGCTTTGCTGTCATCATTTGCCATCGATTCACAAGTCTCGGATATGGTGCCTAGATAGTGCGACCATGAGCTCATAAAGTATCTCAAGTTCCTAGATTACGGCGTCTGTACCCTATGTTCTCCCGCAGATATCTCAGTTGACATTACCTTTGCATGTGCCCTTGAGCCACTGTTAGGGAGATCAGTGTTACCTTGAATAAGAGTCCATTTATTTTATGCTTCGTCTAATCTCAAGCAACTACATTCCAATCGTGGGTTATACAAGGGTCACATATTTTTATACTCTATGTAGTTTCAAGCATCTGCATTAGTTATTCGTTAAACTTGCTAGTTAGTTGCTAGTTGCTAGCTATCTACTACTTGTTAATATAGATTCTGGATTGAATATTGCCTCATACAGAAACCAAAACGATGTATGAGAGAGAAATATAAATCTTAAGATGATAGTTTAAAAATCTTAATGTGAATCGATTAGCTTTTTTATTTATTCTTTGCGTGGGTTCTATGTTTGATCAACTGTTTTATATACATCTCCATGTCAAGATCAGATAACTTAGTTCATATCACCGCATTATACATCTACGGGTAACTTGATTCTACTCCATGAAGGCAGTTCTCCTCCAACCAACTTCTTTGAACCATTTAGGCAGCATAAACATTAGATTATTAACTCATTCTGTAATATCTGTTAAGGAAAGTTGGAGTGCGCAGTTTTTAGTATCAAACCTTTGACGTACGATATATTATAGAGAATTTTTTTCACATTTTATATTTACACAGGCACATCTATTATGGGACCATCTGCATGCTAGTACTTCGCGTAGAGCTCACTTTGGAGTCTGTCATTTCTTGGATTTATAAACTGACTCCTACGGCTGATCTGTTAGAGCCATTAAGACTCAGAACATTCTTGTGGACAAGAATTACAACTCAAAGATTGCTGATCTTGGACTCGTCCTGTCATAATAACACTGTTCACGGTGAACTAACTCCCGTTTATTATCGCATTACTTCTTTATAATCAGTTTTAGGGTTTGGGATTAACACCGCCTTGACTTGGTTAGGTAACCTCAGCGCCCTACTACTAAGTAATTTGTTTCCTATCTACTGCTACACACCATGGTACTAGCGGTGTGATTCCCCATCATGCTCTCCGGGATTGTTTCTTCTAATAGTCTTCCTCGCTACTTGAACTCAAAGTGTGAAAATCTCTGTTATTGCCAAAGCTTCTTGTTCATTGTAAATCTTCCCACATCTGATTACTTTGTTACACAATAATCTTGTTTATAAGTGGGTATATAATTGACTTGTAATTATATGGACTTTGCATTTTCCCTTACAAAGTTTAGATGAGTGACATGATGAATATGTCCAATGCGCTCATGAATTGTACACGTGTCGTTTGCAACTAACACGCTTATTAGCATGCTCAATCCTTATCTAACAATCACACATCTTGATGTAAGTTTGTTTTTAACTAACAAACAACAAATGGATAGCTGACATGACAATATATATATATATATATATTCCACTATCATTTTCTCTATTCAATTTAGACTAACTTTTATTTTGGTTCTAAATAACGAAAGATGGTAACACAAATCATTGATTTTTCATCTACTTTTTGTTTCCTTCAATGAGCATTTTGGAGAAGGTATTTTCCAAAATGTAAGCTTCTTTAAGAATCAAATAATTTGAATAAATTCTTCGTAAGATCGTGGCATATCGATTGAAATCATTTTCTTGTTAGGTGCTTTCTTTTCCTATTGAGTATAACTTGTTCTTCAAATTTGTTGCTCTCTGGATGTATTGTGCAATTTTTGCTTCCTCTATAATCTTGAATGAGTGTAGCTTAGGACAAAAGATGTATTTAAACTTGATCACCCAAGCGGAAATTACTCTCAAGCACTTGTCAAACATTAGCCAGATTGTAATAACCCACCAAAGGCTAAAACTGCAGTATGGTGGTAAAAAGATCGAACCCACAGGGACAGAGGCAACACACAGAGTAAAAAGTGTCACGTTTAACAGACTTTTGTAGAGTTTGAATTCTCAGGCGACTGTCACTCCCAGAAATACTGCAGTGCTCGACTCGGAGGCTCGACTCGGAGGATGCTCGGAGGATGCACAGTACAGCGTAGTCACTCAACACACACACACACACACCTGAAACTGGCAAAAGCACAACTCGGAGGTCGGTCAGGACCTCCGCTTCGGATTTCAGGGGGAAAGTGTCTCAAAAGTTCACTCAGAGGTTTTGCAGGTAGTGACTCCCACTCCGGCTTTTACTGCCCTTCCGCCAGGAACTAGCGTAGGGAACCCGGACTGGACTTCCCACTTCGGAACGAAGCCCCTTCATACGCCGTGGACGTCACCCTCGACTCACACCAAACGCAGGGGGTACAGGCCCGACTGAGAACTTGACTGAGACACAATCCAGTAACACACACACAACCTGAATTGCAAACCAAGGCTTACACGAAGTAATAAAACTTCACTTTGGCATTCAGGGGAAACTTCCCGTAGGAGTACAATCAGGATATGTCACTCGAAGGAGTAAGGGGGAACTGTTCAAGTCTCTAACTCGCAGCCGGCTCTGAGCATCAGAAATCACTCGCAGGTGCAGATCCGCACTACTCAAGTCTCTAACCGGGTGCTAGCTCTCAACATTCAGCCGAAGGCTTTCAACTACAACATACGGTAACTTCGCTATGCTGCAGCTTCTCTACGTGGTGCCAAGACCAAAATGCACAAACACGCCAAGAAAGTGAGTTCCTGATCTGCACTTCCGCAACTGGAAGAGTCCCAAGGCAAAACGCCTTGAACTACTTTATACTCTCTAAGGTCCTAACTAACACTACGCTACCCGCTAGGGTGCGAGCCGCAACAGATCCTACACCTGAGGAGTCGGCGGCTACCTTCCCCTCTAACTTACAACCTAAATCTAACCCTAACCCTAAATCTGAATCCTAAGCCTATTGTACAGAGCCGCCAGCGTCTTTACATCCGAGATCTGAGGCTGAATATTTGCAGGCATGCGTGGCCGACTGAGATCAACGGCCCCACCAAATTTCAGATCCATCCGACCGTCCATCGCAAAGATATGGACTCCGCAAGATCTCTGAACCGCATCCGGTTTGCCGACCTCGAGTTCGCCGACTCCGAGTTTGCCGACTTGAAGTTCGCCGACCTCGAGTTTGCCGACCTCAAGTTCGCCGACTCCGAGTTCTCCGAAGGCGTTGACCGCCGAAGACGCACTTCCGCACCTTTGCTTATTTGTAACAGTCACTCCCGACACCCATAACTCACAGATCCTTGATCTGTTTCAAGAGTTCTTGGGCTCGTTGGAACGAGCGCGTTGAGCTCTTTCTAACGAGACCCTAACTGAGTCAAACCGTTACGAGTTGAAAGAGTTATGCCGGTTTTATCCTTCGCCAAAGGCACACTGTCGAAGGCTTGTTATCTGTTATCGCCGAAGGCGCCCGCACGATGTTTCGCCGACTCCGAGTTCTCTGACCTCAAGTTTGCAGACTCAGAGTTTGCTGACTTGAAGTTCGCCGACCTCGAGTTCGCCGATCTCAAGTTGGCCGACTCCAAGTTTGCCGACTTGAAGTTCTTTGACCTCGAGTTCGCCGACCTCAAGTTTGCCGACTCCGAGTTTGCCGACTTGAAGTTCTTTGACCTCGAGTTCGCCGACCTCAAGTTTGCCAACTCCGAGTTCTCCGACCTCAAGTTCGCCGACCCCGAGTTTGCCGACTTGAAGTTGACCCGAAGACGTCCGTCGCGGAAGGCGAACATCCAGGGCCGAAGGTGGATATTCTGCCGACGATGAACTCCTTCCGCCTATCCGTAGGCGTTCTCCTTCGCATCTTCCGACAGTCAGAACTCCCTGAGTCCTCATCCGTTCCAGGCGTTCTTGGGCTCGTTAGAACGAGCGCGTCGAGATCTTTCTAACGAGACCCTAAGTAACTCAAGGCGTTAAGAATTGAGGAAGTTATGAGTGATCTACCGCCGAAGGTGCTCGAAGCGAGTCCTGCAGCGTGAACCGCCCATTCCATTCCAAGCGTTCCACTGTGGCCTAAGCCCAAAACCCCTTGACTATCCTCGATCCTCTTTTTACTCTGGCTTTGCGTACCGATTACTATTTACAGCTGCTACCACGGTACTTACTAATCAAAAATGTTTTAGTTCCGGCGAAAAACAAAAAGTGGGTTACCACACAGATCATCATTGCTAAACTTTAAGTCCACAACATCATCATTGACAAACATTGTAATCGCCACATGTGTGTAATATTCAATTTCATCATCTTATTCACAATTATGCCAGTGATTATAAAGAGTGTTCTCTCCAGCATCTCAATCTTGTTTATTGTCATTTTCCGGAGTTCAAACCTTTTAAACATAGATTATATCTTCACTCATCAAAAGTGATAATTGGATTGTTCCATCAACTTATTGCTATCTCCGTCCATACATGATGGACAAATACTCACAATGAAAAAAATAAACTCATCTCATAGAATAGGAGATAGCTCACTATTTTCTATATACTAGTATACTTGTTACTTGCTATTAAACCATGTAAAAATAACAATGCTCATTGTCGACGAACTCTAGTTTATTGTCGCAGTACTTCTAAATATACAGTTTTAGGGCTTGTCAATAACACCACTAAGACTTGGTTAGGTCAACTAAGCGGCCTACTACCTACTACTACTACTTAATTTGTTTCCTATCTCCTTTATTGTCGCAATACTTCTTCATATACAGTTTTAGGGTTTGACCTTAACAACACTGAGACTTGGTTACTTAAACTAAGCGGCCTACTACCAACGTACTACTTAATTTGTTTCCTATCTCGTTTATTGTCGCAATACTTCTTTATATACAGTTTTAGGGTTCGCATTTAACACCACTGTGACTTGGTTAGTTAAACTAAGCGGCTTACTACCTACCTACTCCTTCTTAATTTGTTTACTATCTACTGCTACACACCATAGAGGTAGGAGTCCCACTTCATGCTCTCAGGGAGTGTTTCTTCTAACACGTCTGCTTTGCCAATGATTCAAACCACACTCTCTTTACGAAGTTGGAGAAACAAGTTTAAATTTTTAGTCCGATGAAATTTGCACCGTGATTCATGTGTATCGAATATAGGACACTTCCGTTCAATGTATGAGGCACCCAACTGCGACTCGGATGTTATAGGCCCTCAAAGCAAGGCAGTAAAAGTTGGATCACTCTCCATGGATGTACAGGGGCTACTTTTCACCGGAGTATGCGATATAAGAGCATTGTATCCGAGAAACTTGATGTGTACAGCTTCGGTGTTGTTTTGCTAGAAATCATTGCTGGAAGATTGTGCATAGATTTGAAGTTGCGAGATGAAGAGAGCATTCTACCCTTGTGGGTGGGTGATTCTTAAAATACTAAACCTGAAGGCTTCAATTCCTGCCAATTTTACTCCTCAAAATGCAGTTGTTAATCTGATTGCAGCTAGCCTTCCTGTTTGCCTATCAACTTCATGACATGCGCAGGCTATAACGTTTTACGACAAAATTACATTGCCCTGACAATTGTAACTCATCAGGTTGAATGGAGAAATCATTCGACAAATCGCCACCTCCGAGGTAGCCTGATCCCCCATCGCCAATCCGAGGGAGTGCGTAACAAGAAATGCTAGACGAAGAGGCTACACTACCTCGTCTTGGGACGAAACGCGAAACCCGTGAGTGAGGGTGACAGCGAAACCCACTGGGTGCCGGTGACGGTGAAACACCAACGGTGTACGTACGCCGTCAGCCCGGAGAGCATACGGTCGGGGTTGATATAGCCAAAAGCCTAACAACTATCGGAGATGAGTCCTACGTAGTGGATCCATTACCTGGTGCAACATCTCAAGTACTTAGAATCGGTGATGTGTACCATTTGTTCTCTCACAAATAACTCTGTTGAGTATAATTACCGTTTTCCTTCGATCGTGACGTTAAGCCATGGAGGCAGTAAAAACACTGTCCTTCAGTGTGCAGCTACTATCATCTAACATTTCATTCTTCTAGAAGAGTTCAAAATCAATTATATTCAATGTAATTCAAGCATATGCATGCTGAACGAATTTACAGGTACCAGTCTACGGATCGGATTGATTTGTTCAAACTTCAAACTTGCTATCGGGATCATATACTATTACACAACAAGTTTAAAAGAATGTCTATGTTTGCAGAATGTATGAAGTAAATTTGACCTATTTACTTGGGGCCGCTCTATATCGATCATAGTTCCAGTATTCAAGATGTTGCAACTTATAATTCTTCCTTCACATCGTGGGTGCGCTAAAGTCAGCTACACTTTTCTCAGCGATGCATTTAGGTTTCACAACTTCTCATGCTTGGACTGATTTACGAATCTATAGCATCTACTAGTGAGGAGATCTCGAACCATCAAAAAAGTGATAGTTTGTTTGCCAAAAAGACACATGCTTACCAATCACAACGTACACAGTTTGCATGTGGGAGACTTTCTGTCCACTAGCACAAAAGACGACTGAGAAGCACACTGAGCTCTCCGTGATGAGACTCGTATTCACTCACAAAATACTTCGCATCCGACGAGTAGGAAGAAAAACTCCGACGAGTTTTTCTTCCTACTTCTTTCTTTCTTCTATTTCATAATGTGTGCCTAAAGTGTGTACACTTCTTCATTGTTGATTAATTTTTAAGTTGCATTAGGGTCCAGATTTTTTGTAACCATAATCCATGTTTGGAAATATACGTCGGCATAAATGGTGAAGAAATAACAAATAAACTACTCTTCTTCCATCATCTTTCACTCCCCGTGGTAATACATTTATCAATACATCGTCTTCTCACTTAGTATTATACGATGCATTGATATACGAAGTCATACCACGGGCGGGCCCTTCATGGTTATGCTAGCCATGCATAGCTTGCACGAAAAGGCGATTCGTAAGGCTGAAGTCTTGTCGGGGGAATCAAAATCTTGAAGACAATTATGGATTCTTGTATCCTTCCCAAGATATTCAAAAAGGACGGGGTACCGTCTGACACTCACGTTGTAGCATCCACCGAGATCTAGCATCCACCGAGAGGGACTGTCCAAAAAGGCTGAAGAATCATCACGCCAGGAATAACGCGGTCCGATGGCGATCTGCCACGGGTCCTCCCATCTTGAATGCAATATTGCTTCGTCCTCCATATCCTTCTCGGCGCTCTGGTTGGATAGAACTAAATCCTTATGGCTACGTTCCAAACAAACAAACAGCATAAAGCAAGTGTGGGGAACTGTGAAATCAATATGTGTGTGGCCGAGATGGAGGCCCCACAAGAACGACTTTTACTACATAGACGCCAGCTCAACGCTCGGTCCATTTTTCCGCGTACGCCAGTAATCTCAAAAGCTGCTGCTGACATCCTTGTGCCGAGCTGCAAATGCTCCATGGTGCCCTCTTAACTGCAACTAGTGACCACGTCAAAGAGGCAACATGAGAACGAGCTTTGTCGAAATCCTGGCCATACGCATGACTACAATGAGTCGAAATTCCATGCTGTAGTCGCAGAAGGTGCCGCTGACAGAAGTCTGCATATTTGCAAAGTCTCCACGGTGCTTTCTCAAACACCAACTACCGACCGCGACAAAAAGCAAGCCACACGATTTTCATGGCCATTTTGCTGCATAAAATAGCTCAGACAGTAACTTCACCCCTGATCACTTACCCAAAATGGTTTTCACAAGTTCCTCAGATACGTGACGTGATATTGTGGCCCGAGAAAATTGGAGAGTCAAATTACTTCACATCATCATGTTACATTACATTTTCGAAGTTGAAAAGGTGTTGGAAATCCTTGTCATTCTACCGGATGTTCCACTATCCAAGACAAGTAAATAAGCATGTGTTTACTTTCGTCAACGCTGTAAAATCCTGGTGCTAGTAGCGCATAGACATCTCGTCTCCCGAAGAAGAACAATTAAACTGGAAGGCGGGATAGCAATTTTCACGTCGCTGATTGCCTCTGCGCTTCTCAGCTTCGACTCGCATTTCTACCAGTTTCGTCTCACTCTCAAGAGTTGAAACTTCAAATTTAATGTCGTATCATCTTTCGTTGCTCCTAACAAATAAACTATTGCAAGAAAGATGGCTCTTGAAGGCTGCTATGAGTACTGAGATTTTGAGATGTAGCAAGAGTGTATAGGAAGCTTTTGTTTGTGAGCAAATGAACCAACTTCGTAGCTTCTTATGGAGATTCCCCTGATCATACTGCAATGCATTGAAGGTAAGGTTTAGAGATTAGAATTTTACTGGAAGTATTTGGAAAGTCTTAGCACATTTTGTAATCTGCATACGAGGTTCTGATTTCTGCATCCACTGCTGTCTCAGACGACGATTGGTTTCAGGCTTCATCCGCATCAACATCAACTGTGGTGGTGAGGTTGACACGGACCCAGACACAACCCTGGAGTTGAAGTGGTACAACTGGCTGAACAAGGTGTCACAATCAACGCTTCTGTAAATCTCAATCCAACAGTTGTTCCCGCAAACAATGCGGAAGGGCTGAAATACTGCTCTTGCTTTCAACCTGGGCAATCCTGACCGCAAGGCTTGATCGAAACTCTATTACAAATTGCCCGTGGGTTTCAATGAAACACATGAAACAAGACTAAGGCCGAAGGTAAACGTTTCGACGCTCTTGGAGTTCATCCGCTGTTGGCGGGCTTTCGAATGCACAGCATCTTCTCGACGAGCCTAGAAACTTAAGAGACTAAATTGGGAGCAACACCTCCACAAACTCACATCTTCGCTCGGTGCAGTCTCCGACGACAATCATCTTGTAAGCGAAAATCCCTTCTTACATTCTGACCTGGCTCAGATCTTGCCTGCTCCAAACTCAAGTAGCTTGGATTGCTTAAACAGATGATCACTTCCGAATTGTTTGCGTCGATACCGCATCCCAAAGATCAACATGAAGTACGTTGGACTCATGGAGATGGAGAAAAGTGCTCTAAACATCAATGGTTGTGATCTCAAAAGCTTGGAGATGATCATTGGTGCCACAATGATAGAAAGGGGATGATTCTAGTCTTCATCAAAAGAGAAATATCCCTTTCTGACAGGCGTGTATACCCCGTTCCATGGTCGTCACCACGTGGTGTCCGAAGCTGAACTCTCTTTTGATGACCTAACCACGTTCACGATTTTTTGGGTTATCTTAGACAGGATCTGCAGGTGAACCGAATATGACCATCTTCGAATGTTGTTTTCATGCATGATTATGCGGCTGAACTCCATTCCAGGGTTGCGAACATCAACTCTCATCAAAAGATATGTTGTACGTGTGGACCTAGTTAGCGAATGACGGTGTGAAAATAGAGTACTTCCATTGGCGTGGGCGTAGTACGCGGAGCATAGCAGATAACTGATCTGTGTAATAACGATGCAGATTTCTGCCCAGGCTTGAGCCGTGATATCTGGGGACTAATGGCGGGGAACGTCTTGTCTCAATTATCTCTGCGACTGAAATTCGGGAGCAGAAGCACAATGTGTTGGGTTGGAATTCTCTCTGGGGTCTTACTCTCGAACCTTATTCTCTACCCGGTCCTCTCGCAGTCTACTGGGGCTTCTCCAGAAGGTGAGTCTGCAAAGTGGCTTTCAATTGTGAATTTAGCGGAGAAGTTAATTTGGATTATACCTTGCAGCTCCGTTGAAAGCCTGAATAGGCAAAGATTCTTTTGCTCGTTCCATCATTTCTTCTGCATGAGAATTGCCAACGAGATTCCAGATTGTGTGAAGCTGTGAAAACACAAAATCCGGCCACTCCGGAAACGCTGATGAACTTCTTGTGCCTTAGGATTCATAAGCATCAACTGTGGCGGCTCGAGTGGAGTAGACCCTATCACCTCACTCCAGTGGATCACTGATGACACTCATCTGCAGTCATTCAAAAGACTTTCTCAAGAGAAGGTGATCATCACCGCCGACGTTTATTACAACGAGAGCTCACCTAGCGTACCGAATGACGAACAGTTGAAAACTGCTCTGGTGTTTCTTCCCATCCGAAAGACACGCTCGAAGTTTTGCTACGACTTGCCAAATGCATTTAACGCAACTGAAGGATCACGAAATTATCTTCTTCGAGCAATGTTTCCCAGCCAAAATTTGACTCTGAATGGAACTCCATTATCGGGATATGCCACTCGGTTCTACCTTACTGTCGACTCCACCTACATCACCACAATCGAGCTACTGCCATCGATGCCTCAGACAATCGAGCTGGTCGTCTCTTCATTAGATGAAAAATTTTACGTTTGTCTCGTGCCCTTGGAAGACAAGTCCTCAATGCCAGCAATCTCAACTCTGGAGTTGCGTCCGTTCGATCCAGAAACCTATGGCAGAACTGGTCAGTCGACAGACAAGCAACAGTCGAGCTATCTCATGCTGGTTCATCGTTTGGACTTCGGAGGAACACTTGACACTGAGTCGCCTCCTATCAGGTGCACATGCGAATGACAATTGAAGAGTGGAGCGAGACTAGCTTTACCTCATCATGCCGTCCAGAATGTGAAGTGCATGGTGACCATTGACGTTTTGCTTCATTCTGTATGCAGATATCCCGAAGACCCTTTCGATCGTATATGGTCATCCCCACGAATTCCCGATGGAGCGGAGTTTGAGGCTTACAACAGTACCAAAGATTGGCCTGGGGATGGCGGGGGCAATCTTCGCTTCCCTTTTGCAGTTACGAGATCGATATGGAGAGGAAAAAATTTATCATCCTCCATTAGCTTTGAGGTTGATGCGAAGAGCGCTAGAGCCCTCCGTCCACTACCAACATTCTGGTTACAGATGCTTTTTTCAAACGTAGTTTCTGGAGATGAGAATCCTGATATAATCCCCCTTCTATACGACGGTAATCGATCTGTGTTCTTTGCATGGCGACCGGTTGAGATACACCCCTATCCGGATTATTTTGGCGCATACAGCAACGACCAGGTCATCCATAGCGATGCGTATAGAATCAAAATTGCACCAAACGAATCCACAGAAGCACCTGTTCTGATAAATGCAGCCGAGATTCACGGTGAGTTTCCAGCGGTGGCAGTGAGAACTTCAAAACTTGAGGGTAAGTGAAGGCCACAGTTTGCATTTTATGTCGTTTGTTCACCGACAGTTATGCTTGCAAAATATAGTCATTGAATGACTGGGAATTTGATACGGTTTTGTTTCTTCAAACTCTCTCAGTGGATAATTTCAGGAATGTTTTTCCCGATTTCGCATCAAGTTCTCTAGACACAGCTGGCGATCCGTGCTTGCCAGTTCCTTGGGACTGGCTAGTTTGTAGTATCGAGTTGCCCCCTACAATAACCCAAATGTAAGTTTGTAATCCACGAATTCCTTACAATGATACTGATCACACAATCAGAATCTACATGTATAGAAACACAAGAATTGATCTCCTTCTAACGATGACCATATACAGCTGAATTCTTGCAAGGTGCGTATATTGAGATTAAACCTTGCCACGGACCAACGACATGGAAAAGAATTTCTTGACGTTGCAGAAACCTCACTTCGAAGGCGTGAGAGGAGAGTTGGACCTTGATTTGTGAAGCCGTCTGATCGTTCTAGACTTGTCAAATAAAATGGACGGCAAGCCAATATCCCTAGTGACTATTTCTGAGATGAGATGTTTGACGGGTCCGTTTGTCTGACAGAAACCTTACTGGCAAAGGTGTGGCCGGTGTATTGCCTAGTGTATTTGGGAATTGGAGTCAGTTGACGATTTTGGATCTGTCTGAAAACAGTTTCGACGGGGATTTCCCTGATTCTATAGGAGAAATCCGCACTCTCAGAGAACTGTAAGAACCCAACTCACTCGCTCTTTGGATGACATAGATGAAAGCAGGTGTCTGTATGATGACAATGATTCCATCAGTTGTGCCATACTGGGTGTGGTCATTGCAGTAATTGTAGCAATTTCATATCAATCTTTGATTGAAGGTGACAACTTATAAGTTTGAGGACAATGTCGATCATCATTTGCATGGCTTTAAAGTTTCCAATTTGCCAACTTTAGGAACTTGGGATACAACAAGCTGTCTGGAGAACTACCCTTCTTCCGTTCAAAATCACTTGACAATCTGGAAATGCTGTAAGTTGTTCAACGCCTCACAACGCAAGTAAGATCTTTTGTAACTTCAGAAATTGACAAAGTTCGTAGATAACTATCGGTTGAAATCGTTTGAACTATTCATATTTTCTAGGTCAATTCAAATTACGAAACTAATTTACTCGTCAGCATCGTTGGCGTCAGTTTTGTCAACTTAAAGTCATAAGTCGTTATTCAGTTAGATGGCGTAGCTAGCTAGAGTTGAAAGACAACTTGGAATGAAGTAAACTGTTTAAATAGTTATTCTTCACGGAGGAAAGATGATTTTATTCTCTCTAACGACCTTCCCATTCATACTACTGCAGATCACTGTCGAGCAATATGTTCAATGGAACACTGGATTCATTAATAGGAGCATTGGACGAATCGATTCAAAACTTGTGAGTTCAACGATCAGTTTATGCTTCGAGTTTTATACTATATTTACACGATTCTCATTATTTTCGTCCCACATCCAGTGACATTGCGTCAAAATTGTCACTCAATCAGGATTATTCATCCTGTTCTGTCCGAGGATATTGTGTTTAAACATCTCCAAGAGCATTTTTCCAATGTTTTATAATCGAATATAGAAGACAAATGTGAAACTTGGGTTGCCTGCAGAGACCTCAGCAATAACAAATTCGTCGGACCCGTACCTGGGAATATAGAAGTGCTAGGAAACTTGGAGAATTTGGATATGTCCAACAACCAATTGACGAGCGAGTTAGCAGTCAACTTCACTAAACTCGGGAATTTGAAAAATCTGTAAGTACACGTTTCAATCAGAGTTAAATTAGACTTGGAGCTTCTGATAGAACAAAGGAAAATTTGACGTGAGGATCCCTTGCAGTCGAGAATTTTTTTCTTTTTATTGTTTAAAAGTATCTCGATTCTAAATGAGACTGAGGAAAAGAATCGTGATTTCAGGAACTTGAGCCTTAATAATCTGAACGGTACAGTGCCTGACAGCATCTGGGACACTCGCAGCCTCCGATCTGTGTGAGTACGCAGTTCTCGGTCCTCGTATCATATCAGTAGTTCATGTAGCGAAGTCTCTAGATGTTGAATCAACTATGTCAAGAGAAAACTGCTAAAGTACGTTGGTACAAGCAAGATAACTGCTCAGTTCTGTATGATTTGAATTTCATTACTGCTTCCTTTCTACGGACAGCAACGATGCATTTGGCTGGATGATTTTCACATTTGTAAAGACAATATTTGATACTACAGTCCTTTCTTTATAACTGAGAATGGGATCTTGGTTTTGAGTACTAAAATGACTCCTGAATAGATTTTATGGTCGATGTAGAATTTATCAACATTATAAAACCTTTCAACCCAACCTCTGTATATACGTGTAGTTCCTCGACACTTTATTGAAGTATTTTTAATTTTTTCACTCAGGGATTTGAGAAACAACAGCTTTGTGGAATTGAACCTTACAGCATGGTATAAGAAAATTACCGATGGCAAGAGTTTTGAAATTCATAGGGTTCAGCTGCGTTTGGCTGGAAATCAGATACGCAGCATTATCTCACCGAGCCTTCAAGATTTAGAGAGTTTAATACTAGTGCCACCTTCACTATCTGACCAGCTATTCTCGATACAGCAATACTCTTCACAAACTTTTATCTTGTAAGTAATAAGCCTTCTTACTCTCTGACCTGGTTCAGATGTCCAGATCTTGTCTACCCGAAACGCAAATACTTTGGATTGCTTTCAAAGATGTTCGTTGTACAACTGATTTATGTACCCGCATGTCAAAGTTTGAAAATTTAAGGTTTATAACATTGCTGCTGAGATGGATTTCTGTTTAGAGAAAACTGCTTATGACGCACTCGTTGTAATTTCAAAGGCTTGGAGATAATCCGTGGTGCCTCAATGATACTGAGGGAGTGAATTTAAAGTTCATCAAAAAATACATGTGCCGATCTAGCGAGCATGAGAACTTCTGGGCGCCCCCATGTGAGTTCCGAACTTGCACACTATTTCGTTACTGTAACCAAGATCAAAATTCGTTAGAACAGTTTATGAACTATCTTCAGGTATTGAATAGGCACATTTTCATCTGGTTACGTGAAAGTCCTAGCTTCACAAGCAACAATTCTCATCATAATTCTCATCATAATTCTGGTGTTGTATGTGACCTACGCAGCAAACGATGGTGTCCAAACAGGAGTAGTAATTGCCGTGGGCGTGGTATCTGGAATAATCGTGTTACTTATGAGTTGTTTAGTCATATTCTTCACATGGAAAATGCGAAGAAGCAGTCGTGAACTTCAACAGATACAAGAAGGTCAGTTCTCAGCATACGATTTTGAGGAATCATTTGGCTCATCGTCTTGAGAACGATCACTTGGTTTCAACCTGTGATTAAAAAGCGCTGCTCCTTCGTGTTCGTATTAACGTATTAACCTTGACATTTCTCAGTTTTAGCAAAAGACAACGTGAAGCCACCAATTTTCAGCTACCAAGAACTCAAAACCGCGACACACAGTTTCTCTAGTTCCAATGAGTTAGGAAAAGGTGGATTTGGCACTGTTTTCAAGGTAATACTCCTGACATTGTGGTATGCACATCTCTAAATCCTCTTTAAACGATGGGAATAAGATTTCATTCACTTTTTCTGTCAGAGTAAGTCTAGTATCCTGGTTTTACAGTCATCTGTTTCACTAGGAAAGTGTAGAAAGTGCCGGGAGCACATCGAAGTGTAACAAGTAATTGTCTTTGACAGGCTGAACTAGCAGATGGGAGTATTGTTGCTGTGAAGAGACTCACTCGGACAAAGCAGAGTACGTCCGACTTCTTGAAAGAAATGGTAAACATCTCGGGTATCAAACATAGACATCTGATTCAACTCAAGGGATGTTGCGTAGGGGAGAATCAGCAACGGATGCTGATTTACGAATACGCGGAGAACAAGAGCCTCGCAGAAGCCCTGTTTGGTGAGAAAATATTGAGATCTTTAATGAAAATGTATCTACTAGAATAACAATAGATAGAAGTTTTTGCATGTAATTTTGATAGCGAGCAAGAATAGAGAAATTTGAGCTTTTATTGCGAACGGTTCAAGTGGATGTATTGGATATTAAGTAAGTAACCTACTCGTATGTGGACTAAGAAGGGGAGAGTTTTTGTCTTCGACTCACATTTGTAATCGAATAGAGAGCATGCGGTTAAATACTACGAAAACTATGCTTTTTATCTCAGAGTTAAATGTATGCCGCTGAGCAACAGGTTCAGGTCCTCAATGTGCGACCTTCTTGAACTGGAAACAACGTTACAACATATGCTTGGGAATAGCCCATGGACTTGCGTACCTACATGAAGGATTGCAGCCGGGTATGATTCATAGGTGAGAATGCTTAGACTCTAACCTCATCTGCGAACCATCCACGTTTCGATTCTGTTCTGTGTAGAACACATCTAAAGAGAAGGGCACGTGTTTAACACCAAAAGCCCATGCTCTGGGATATCTCATGCAGCTTGTTCTTGTGCATTACACCGTGACGACATGCGAAGGCACATATCATGGAGTTTTCTGCATGCTTGTGCTTCGTATACGGCTTATTTTGAGATGTGTGATTTCTCGGCTTTATACACTGACACCTGCCTCTGAACTCTCAGAGACATAAAGCCGGAAAATATTCTTCTGGACAAGAATTACAACGCAAAGATTGCCGACTTTGGACTCGTCCGGCCCACTAATGATTCAAATGACACTCAAGTCACCATGAACATTGGAGGAACGAGGTACTTCTATAGGCCGAATCGATTCATGAGTATCAAATGCACGACAGTGGCACTCAATTGGTGAGACTCGCAGTTCAGACTTGAATGTGGTATGCACTTAGAGCAAGGCACTAACCAGTTGGATTTCTTTCCATGCAACTACAGGGGCTACTTTTCACCAGAGTATGCACTAGAAGGCGTCGTATCCGAGAAACTGGATGTGTATAGCTTTGGTGTAGTCTTGCTGGAAATCGTTGCTGGAAGACAGTGCATCGATCTGAAGTTGCCACAGGAACAAAGTATTCTACGCTCCTGGGTGGGTGATTCTATATTGCACTGCATCATTATAGCACGAACATTCCAAATCCAGCTCACAAAGCTTCAGGCTTTCAGGAGATACTCATCTGCCTCCTTTCTCTGCTACTTCTGCCAATTTCACTCATCAGAATACCGTCGCGAATCTGATTACGGCTATTTTCCTCTTCGGCCTCTCACACCCTCATGACATGCGCAGGCTATAACTTTGTACACGGAAGGCAAGGTTTTGAACTTGGTCGACAAAAGATTGGAGGGCGATTATGACGAAGAAGAAGTCCTGCTCGTGGTGAACATGGCTCTGTCTTGTCTGCAAGCAGATCCCAAGAAACGCGCAACGATGTCTCAACTGGTGAACGTCCTCATGAAGAACTCAAATGCAAGTGTAGCTGTGGACATCGTCAACGAGCTAAAATCCCAGACACCATACTTGTGGAGCATATCAGAGGACGAACACTACGTGGATGCCTATCCCAGTAGACAAGGCGTTCAAGGAGAATCAGCCGAACTTGCTTTAATGTCATCATTTGCCGCCGATTCACAAGCCTCGGTTATGGTGCCTCGATAGCACGTACATGAGCTCATGCAGTATCTCAACTTCCTAGATTAGGTCGTCTGTTCCCTATGTTCTCTCCAAGATATCTCAGTTTACATTACCTTTGCGTGTGCCCTTGAGACACTGTCGTAGGGAGATCAGTGTTTACCTTGAACAAGAGTGCATTTACTTTATGCTCTGTCTAATTTCAAGCAACTGCATTCCGATCGTGAGTTATAGAAGGGTCACATATTTTAATACTCCATGAAATTTCAAGCATCTGCATTATTTATTCGTTAAACTTGCTAGTTAGTTGCTAGTTGCTAGCTAGCTACTACTTGTTAATATAGATTCTGGATTGAATATTGCCTCATACAGAAACCAAACTGATGTTTGAGAGAAAGATAGAAATCTTGAGATGATAGTTTAAACATCTTAATGTGAATCGATTAGCTTTTTTAAAGTCTTCAAATATGAAAACATACCAGTCACCATTGTAGTCATTCTTGACCATGCAAAGACTCCACTCTGGATGGCAGTAAAATATTATTTTCACTGTCTCGTGATATCGGAACTCAAAACTTGTCTATCCAGATTTCTTGTTTGAAAACATGAGCAATGTTAAAACACCACATTGTCACTACTTAGACACAATAAAATGACTACATCAATACTTGATATTATGACTCAATGTTATTATAGTGCGTCAAGCCGAGTATGGTGTCTCGATTTTTCGCTCGTTGACGATGTCCACTCTCCTGCAGACAACAACAACTTCATGACATTTACATCTCACGCTGTAAAACATCAAAACACTAATTTGTGTAAATACATTATGTGCTGTTGTGATAAGAAGAGTGTTGATGAATCATGTTTTGCTGCGTTGCAGATCATTTTTGCTTGCATCATCATCCACAGAGCCAACTTTTACGCCGGTAAAATAACAACTTTCGAAATGCTGCAGAGTTTGGAAATCAAGCAGGCTATAAAAGCTCACAGTGCACTTCGATTAAACAATCGAGTGACCTTTTCAGAGCCATTTTGCAGATTCTGAGGTGAGTTCACGGGGGAGTTCACAGAAGTAGCAATTAGTTATGTCGCTTAAAGACAAGGCTTTTAGCGTAGAGATATATGAATTCACAGAGTTGGACACTGCATCAATGAAAACGTATCCCTTTGATAGAGAAATGGACATTAACTATAGCCATGATATACTGCCAGATTATAACTCGGAGTTTGAAAACAAAAAATAGGGTATATTTCAGTACGTCCTGTTGGTGGACAACCTGATGATCATCTTCACATTACACATCCGAGAAAGTTTTCAGCAAATTGAAAATATGTGAACTTTAAGGGGTCTGAACGACAAAAATAGTGTGATGGCTGGATGAGATGAGGTGACTTCTGTCAATCGAGGCAGTATGCATTCAATAAAGAGCGAGTTCAGTCAGAAGTAAATGAGAAAACTGGATATTAATTATGGCAGAATACAAGTCCGTGATAGAAGAAGCTGAAGAATGATGCTAGTGGGGAGGATGGACTAGACGAGAACACTAAAAGAACGAAGATAAGAAACCTAGTAAATCAAAGTGTGTTTTGTTAGTTATAACAGAACGATGATTAATTGGATAAACTTAATGGATTTCAAAACGTTCATTTAGACAACTAAAGACAAGATTAATAGAGATTGTGGATTATGTTGAGATTCTGTGTAATACCATAGAGTTCTGAGCATAGACTGATAATTAAATACAAGTATAAATGGAAGATTACATGAATTGTATGAATTGTATACGTTGATACAAATCTTTATGATAATATTAAAATACGGTTGAAACTTTAACAAAAAAATATATTTTTGACACTTGAAAGAGATGTGAAAATGAGCTAAACGTTAATAGTTTTCTTAAGGTTTTGATTATTTTCAGTTCATTCAAATATGATAAGCTAAACTAGTTAGCTTTTGTTTATAAGAGGATTGGAATAATATTTTTATCACACAATTCAGAATTTTGTTAAATGTATGATTTTTCTTGAATATATATTTGTTGGATGATATACATATTTCTTTTTTTGAAATTCTTGTCATTTCAAATATCGATTTGGACCAGCCAAAGAAATTTGAAAACGAACGAAATTCAACATGTTAAAAATTGGCAAAGAGCAACACTATAGTCAAAATCTGTTAATCATAAAGATCAAGAGCATGTAGGATTTCTGTTCTTTTAGATTCTTCATGCTAGAAACTCTATGCAATCTGAGGTTTCTTTTAGTGATCACATAGTGATTTTAACGTACCAATGTGCTAGGATGAACGAACTTGTATTATGCCAAGTATATACGATGAGACATCACGAGGCTTTGAGTTGAATGGGAAAAAAAATCTCAAGTAAGTTTCTTGATTCAGATTTCAAAAATATACAACAAGATTGAAAAAAAGTTGCATAATTGGTTATTTTAACCTACAATAGCTTTCCACTTAATTAAGCATTATTTTGTCAAAAAAATAGGGATCAAATTTATGTAGATCAACATCTCATGCATTATCATTTGACGCAAATGGATAAATGTGGTAACACACTTTTTGTTTTTTTTGCAGAATTTTAACAATTTTAGAAAACTAGTACCGAAGCAGTGTTTGTAGTTAGAAAAGGGTACGTTAAATAGAGTGGATTGAGGAGATCGTCACGAGGTCACGAAGAATCGCGCAGTCGGATGTACCAGCGCCAATGTCTTCGGCGCCTTCGGCAAAAGCTCCTTTTCTGAGGTGTCTCTACTCACGCGCTTCTAGCGTTTAAGGAAGCTACGCTTCCGGCGCAGACACCTTCGGAGGAGGTCTTGCTAAAGACGTCAGAAGAACGGCACGGACCTCTGAAGACTTCCGACCGTGAGTGCGCCTTCGGCGATGCGCCGCTAGCGCGGAAAGGGAAACCTTCATAACGGTCGGAATACACGGTAGTCCCAGTTGGTTGAAGTCGCATTAGAAAGAGCTCGGGACGCTCGTCCTAACGAGCCCAAGAGCGTTGGAGATGGATCAGGAACGAAGAAGTTATGAGCGTCGGAAAGCTCGTAACAGGACATGCGCCGTTCGCGCTAGGGTTCACAGTCGGAAAGGACTCTCGTACGCCTTCGGCGATGCGCCTGAATTGCGCGCTCATGGGAGGAAATCAACTCAGAGTCGGAAGCGCCTTTGGCGGCTGCGCAACGGAAGGAAAGCGCCGGCCGGACGTACGCCTCCGACGTGGCGCTGATAGGCGGATGCGCTGGCATGATTTGCGCCGGCGGGATATGCGCCGTCAGTAATGGACGAGGCAGAACGGACAAAACAAGCGGTACTAATACGCGCCGGCGTAATTCGCGCCGACTGGATGTACGCCTCCAGCAAGGCGCCGACGGATAAGGAACACGCCAGCGGCGACACGCCTCCGGTGATGGTCAGGTTAGGAAAAGACAACATAGCCGACGTATACACTGCGGCAAACTCGAGTCCGGAAGACGGTGGCGGCGGGAGAATTCAACATTCACACATGCGAATGCGCGCAGTGCGGAGACGTGAATTCGAGCATGCAAGGGCGAACCGTTAGGCCGTATAGCTGGCTGCGTAAATTGTAACCAGTAAGAACGTTGGACGATCTTGAATTCGGAGAAGAAAAGACTGCCCTCCAGTCTCATTCTCTCATTCTTGATTTTGCGATTTCCAGCTTCCAAGATTACGCGCAAGGGCGGAGAGACCTGCAGTGAGAGGAGAGAGTGCGGAGGCGAGTTGCGCAAGGATCTTGACAGACCTTGGAGAGAATTGCGAGTAGCAAACTTGAGCGCGAGAGAAGAGGAGAGAGACAGCAATCAGTACTTGAGCGGCCGACGCGCAGTGGCGATTGTGAGAGAGCGAGTGGAGGGGAGAACGTCTGTGTGTGCAGGAAACGCAATGTCGAAGGTCCCCCAGCTGCGAGTGTCTCCACTCAGGGTGCCGCAGATCGGTCTACGCGCATTTCAAGATGTGCTGATAGGGCTGAAGCTCGATTTCCTCCTGTGGGGATGGAACTGGACATGTCCGGAGATGGTGCGCGAGTATCTGCAGGAGAGGCACAAGCCCTCACGCGGATTCCGTCCACATCCAGAGAGGTGGGACATTTGTGATTGGGCGCAGGTGTTGGGCAGGTGTGCCGGCGAGGAAGGGTATCTCCTCTTCCAGGCCGATAGCGTGAAGGTGTCCCAGGAGGAAGAAATCTCCTACAATGAGCTTTTCAAAGTTGCCAGGCATCCCAAGAACGGTTTCCGGACACGGGATTACAAAGATCGATTGCGGAGAAATGTCGCGACTGCATTGTTGCAGATATTGCAGCCGACCAAGACCGCTTACATGCATGGTTGGCAGGTAGGATTTGTGGAGCTAGTGCTGTCAGGAGCTCCAGTGCATTGGGCACGGCTCCTATGGAAGGTGACGCGCCAACATGCGCAAGAAGAGAGAGGAGGAACCCTCAATCATCTTTCGCCTTACCTGATTGTGTTTTATCGGGCGATGGGATGTTTGACAAATTCAGAGAAGACACGGTTTCCGCTGTTGACCCGGAGCTATCTAGGTAGATACTCGCGGGAGGCCGAAGTAGACACGGATCCGGACGAGGCACCTGCCAGTCCGCCTCCGGCTCCGCCCCCAGCAAGAGCAGCAGAAGAACGTCGAAGCGAGCGCATTCCGCGAAAGCGGAAGTGGGATGAGAGACCTGAGGACAGGCAGCCGGAAGCGCCAGCTGCGCCGACTCGTAGTCGGCCGACCAACGAGCCTCACAGTCGACCAAAACAGAGGGCACGCAAAATGCCAACTAGTACTGAGGAGACCGGGCGTACTCCGGTCCGGCGGAGTAACCTGCCCACGCAGGAGGATATAATCGCGCAGATTCTGGGGAAGTCGGCAAATACCTCTGCGCAGAAGGCACCAATGCCTTCGGAAGAAGACGGACGGACTGACAGTCGGCCGACTACGAGTCGGGCGACGGCAGGTCGACAAACGGAAGAAAGGCCGACTGAGCGGCGCGTTGAACCGGACAGCAGGCCGGAAGCAGAAGGGAGTTTGGCTGACGAGCCAACAACCCTCAGAGGGTCGCCTTCGGCGGAAGGCACTTCTGGGAAAACGCCGCCAGCAAGCAGGCCAAGTGGAGTGAAGACGCGCAGGGTGTATCCGACTGCCAGTCGGACAACTGCTAGTCGGCCGACTGCGAGTCGGTCAAAAGAGAGTCGGCCAGATTCGCCGACTGCGAGACGGACAGGGCCGGCGACCAGTGTGCGGACGCCTTCGGCGGACGCACCTCCAGCGAAGACACCTTCCGCGCAGATCGCGCCGGAAGGGCAGGCAGCAGAAGCGGGCGGTGCAAAGGTGACAAAAGTCACTACGGCGTCGACCCATTCGGAAACCGAAGATCGAGCCGGAACAGGGGCTCAAGCAGTGGGATCCCCCACTGCCTTGGATATTTTAGCAGGGAGTAAAGCGGCAATCGCGGCGGAAGCTGCTGCGCGCCACAGTTCCAGGGAGTTGCCAAGGGATTCAGTGGC